TGCTTAAAGCTCATAGAAATGCATTGTTTATTTTGGAATGTGAACGACATCAAAACATAGCACTTTTGTCTTCATTCTATCTTTTCTTCAATGAGTGTGCATGATTGTGAGTGCTTGTGTCCGAGGGAACGGGGCTTTAACAGTTGAGTTCTAACCATAGGTGGTCCGATTAATGATTTAGTATAAATATACTTTCTGTGTTCTTTAAATGCATTTCCACTTAGGTACTGCATAAACAAAATATGGCATTAACATTACAAATTTAAAGATTTTAACCTACAGAATAATTCTTACTAATGGGTTTTGTGGTTAATGTTGAACAACTCTGTATGATGGTTAACAGCTGGCACCCACCTTACCCTATTCACGACCTGTGACACCTCTTCATACCTGTCACGTGCATAGCTGACCTACATTGACGAACGTTGACCTTTATCATTGGCTCCCTCCCTTGCAAGCAGTCTGCGTTCTGCTGTTTATTTTGTTGACAGATTCTTTCATACCAATGCATAAAATCGGTGATTTACAATGTGATTAGGTTGTCTGACAAAACATCCACTTGCACAGTTTGAGATCGATTGGATCATTGGATGAAGAGATATTTACAAAAAACCGGGTCACATGCATTTCATGCCAAACTATAGTCCAGGTGCTCGCTTGAGTATTACACAGAGGTAGTGGTACTTGTCTTCATCTGCTAATAAGACCGCATCTCCGCACTTGAAAGTTGTGGTACTTCTGCTAATAGATGGAGTCCTGAAATGGACTAATTTGGATTTGTCAGGTTAATAGCCATCTTGTTAGCCGCACACCACTGATATATCTGCATCTAGTCATAAAAATATCCTTTCTATATTTTATGATCAAGTAGACACTGAAGATCTTCCTCTGTCTCCGCGAGTAACACAATATCGTCAGCATACTTTAATACTGCTATGTTGTTTTCTCGATTTTCTCCTCTTCCAAGCGCATTTATGATTAAAATCAAATCATTTATATACATAGTAAAAAGTAGAGGTGATACAGGGATTTAATGGCTGTCAACATTCTTCCTCCAATTCTTGCAGGCGGTATGTTCTCATTTCGCCTACATCCCATTTCGCCTACAGTCTTAAAACAACATGTCATGGTCTGTTGACTGTTGATTACGCAATGGTGAACTAGTGGCACCCCTATGATCTAAAATGGACTCTCCTAGTTGAAGGACAAAAAGGGTTTATTTATTTCTGTTACTTGTCATTTTCTGATCACAATGAAATGATAATTTATTATTTGAATGTTGTGGGAAACACGTTAATTTCGACCCAAAGTACATCATGCCACGGCTTTAAAAAAATCAGCATCTCTGCGCTGTGGGTATGCAGGAAACTGGAATTGCTCAAAATGATGTGGCCAGACATTTTGTGTCCATCGAAACACGATCTCATCTCTATGCAGACGTTTTCAACATAATGGTAACACGAGAGATTTGCCTCGGACCGGCCGTCCACGCATGGTGTCACATCAGCAAGACAACCACATTCGGCTGATCCATCTAAGGAATCGATTCCATACTGCCAGTTTGATTGCTCGGACAATTCCTCGCTCACGGCCAATCAGTTCCAGGACCGTACGGAACCGACTGAGGGAGCAGAACATCCGGCACCGACGGCCTGCAACACGTCCAATTTTGCTTCAACGTTACCGACAGGCACGTCTTGCTTGATGCCGACAACACCTACTGTACAGGAGACAAGATCGGGATGATTTTTTTGTTCACCGGCGAGTCTAGACTTCATCTGGACAGCTCAGATAGCAGGTCAAGGGTTAGTCTGTCTCACAGTCCCTGAACCACATTAATTTCCTTACTGCCAAGCCCTCTCTGCTGTGCTAAAGCCCTAAATAAAGCAAGTCTAGATTTCCTCAGACAGACCCTGGCCTTTTCACTTCCATTGAACAGTTTGTTAAAAAAAAAAGTGCTTATCTGTATCCTCTTCGCATATTATACAAATGGAAACTTTTGAATTTGGAGATAAGTTCAAATTCATAAATAATTTTGTTGGTGTTCCACACAGATCTTGCACCTTGGTCATCTAGTGTCGAAGTGACATTGTGGGCTTCAAGTTTCCCAACAGGAAAATGTTAGGCAGTAGGGGCACCTGACTGGCCCACATAAGGTCATGACAGCATGGAGATAGGACAGGGCTTAACAGGAGGGCCAATATGCCTTTCACTTATAGCGTTATCTGATGGTTGTATGATGTGACTTCTAATTGGTAATGACCCCAGCACGTGTAGCCCCAATGCAGATGTTCTTAGTCTCTGAATCTCTGGTCTCCCTAGGGCTCCTTTTCAATATAAATGGGCTTGTTTGTTACTATCAAAATTAAATATATTCAGAGACTAAGCCTTAGTCTAGTCAAGGGTGAACAGATGGTGAGGGGAACGGTATGCTAACGCGTGCATTCTTCAACGTCAACAGTTTGGTGGCGAAAGCGTTATGGTAGGGTGGGTGGGGTGTCACATCTCATGGTTGAGCACATTATTGTCAATGGCAATATGACAGGTCTGCAATACAGGGATGAGACCACTGGGCCTCATGTGTTGCCGTTCATTCAAGGACAGAGACGTTTCAGCAAGAGAATGCCCGTCCACATGTCGCTCATTTAGTGACATGTCTTAAGACATCCAAACATTGCCGTGCTCCTCTGGCCAGCTGTTTCTCCTGACCTGTCCCCTATCGAGCATACTTTGGATGAAATGGAGCGACCTTCAGACCCAGAATCAGCCATTGGCATCAGCTGAATTGGGACAAGCGTTGGTTGGGGAATAACATTCCCCAAGATTTCTTCAATCACTTAATGTCTTCTATGCGCCCTCATTGTCAAGCCTGCATCAACGCCAATGGTGGACACACACAATGCTGAATTTGTGAACTAACCTTTTACACCACATCTCTTCAAGGGCTTCTCACGATGCCTAGTGACAAATCATACAGATTTCTGTATATTATCCCGTCAATAGTGATAAAGTGAAAACCACAAATCATGTTATTATCTTTTTGCATTAAAATTGGCATAACATCAAATAATGCAGTGTTACTTTATTCCAGTAGTATACATTTTGTCTATTCTCATGATGACAGTGGCACGATAATACATAACACAACGGTCATTTGTGACGCCATCTTGCATACTGGTTTCTATTCATGACTAACATGACCCTCCACCTTTCCACCTTACCTTTGCATTATCAAGGAGATAGTTACAGGTGTGCATGAGAAAGAATTAAATACCCGTACTTCATAAAAACAAACCAATGTCCAATGCTCTCAATGCAGAAACAACCCACTAAAGTGCTGTCGGAAATAAAAAAAACCTGTATTTTCTCATTTTTCTCTACAATTTATGTAGTTGATATGTGCAAGTGTGAAATATCTGTTAAACTAAGTTCGGCCTAACTACAGTCTCAGTGGTAGGGACATAGTAAACGTAGAAAAGATTAGTGCAGAAATGAGTCCAAAACGATTTATTTGGAACAGGCCATGGCTTTATGCAAATTATTGTGGGACAATATTGTATTACAAAGGACACTTTTTAAATGCCCTATTTGAAATTAGACGTAGCTTCATTATAAACGATACCTGGCGTAAAAAATACGGTCGACGGTCTGTTGTCATACCTGGCTGAGCGACCTAATTGCCATCTATAGTCTGATCTATTGTTTTTAGCAGCTATTCGTATTTTTCTTAAGTTTTACCCATTTTTACGAGTAAACATGCTTTTCTGGATATCCTATTACGCATCCCTCTGAATGCCCAGTTAGGCCGATGTGGTATATTTCGACATATGCTATTTGCAGTTGTGTAAATTTTAGAGATACAGAGTAACAGCCTAAAAACAGTTTTTTTTCTATTTCCGACAGTACTTTAATCATCCATCTGTATTTATCACAGTAATGCATGACCTGTGCAGGAAGATACTGTGCATCGATCTGACAAGTCGACTAATCAGTGAGTGAATGAGTGAGTGAGCCACCTTTAGCAATAGGGTGGGGTGTGTGCAAGGTTGTGATTCACCTGCCAAAAGTAAGAACATCATCTTTCATAATATACGGGCCTGTGGGGTAGCCTAGTGGTTAAAGCGTTTGCTCGTCACGCTGAAAACACGGTTCGATTCCCCACATGGGTACAGAGTGTGAAGCCCATTTCTGCTGTCCCCTGCCGTGATATTGCCGGAATATTGCTAAAAGCAGCGTAAAACCAAACTCACTCACTCATAATATAAATAAAGTATCAGGATACAAATCGTATTACATCCCTTCCATGATGTTACATCTCAATAGCTGTGTGATTTGACTATAATCCTAGATAAATTCACACGGCAACTTCAAACACAGATGCATTTATATATGTAATCAATATTCTTAGTAAGTTTCTCCTCGTTTAATCATTAAAATCTATTTAAAACACATGAACATGTATAAAATCTCTCTCTATATCACACATTTGCACCTTTCACACAAACAAAAGGATTATATAATTTTTTTTAAATTCTGTGTATTAGTATAGCCCTAATAAAAAACAATGTTTAACTCTAAAACCAACAATCATCATAAACTCGGAGCATCTTGTTTCCCAGCATTCTCTGTATGTGTCTGAGATTTCCCATCATTCTCCTGTGTCCAAGCCCTGTCATGGTTCCAGTATTCCTCGGTCTGCATCTCGGTCAGTCTTGACACTGTACGGTCAAATGCAAATAGCTCCTCCTCCCCTGTGAAGATGCTGGATTTGGCTTTGTCGGAAGTCTAGGAGGAAAATTGAATAAAGCTCTTTAGCCTAATGTTGCAAAACAGTGCATGATGGACAACATAGCTTACATATGCAGTGGAACTTTCTTTAATCAATTTACTTACTTCCAGGAGTGAGTGACTATGGTTTTACACCACTTTTAGCAATATTCCAGCAACATCACAGAGGAGGACACCAGAAATGGGCTTCACACATACTACGCATGTTGGGAATCGAACCTGGACCTTCAGCATGACGAGCGAATGATTTCACCACTAGGCTACTCCACCGCCTCTTCATGATCAAGAATCTATATTCTTGGTACACAAGGAAAGTCACCTAGTCCTCGAGCATTTGGCCATGTTTTGTAACTGAAACTCAAGCACGTCAACAGGGTGAAATTCAAGTCATCCTGAGGCCCAAAAGGAAGGCACCCTAGGCCCTAGTGACATTTGACCTTGGGATCCAAGAACAAGGTCTCTTTAGGTCTTATAGGTTTGTTCTTCAAGAGTTTGAATCTAAAGACCTTTCACTCACAAACATTGAACATTAAGCAAAACCTCCCAAATGCCAGAAATTACGAGAAAATATTTTTCCATCACCAGCAAATTTAGACAACAAAACAAAACCTGTGCATAAAGTATGTCAGAGTGTGTGACCAATTAAACAATACTGCAATACAGCTGCTAACATGGCAATGAATTCAGAAAACAAGGTGAACAACAAAGAAAATGAGAACAATCTCCGCTGGAATGAGTATGCTATGCATATCAATTACAACCAATGACAAGAAGCTTCCCACACTACGCCCTTTCTATACTGAACCTGTCAATATAGCTTTACGCCTTTGCAATCCAGGTAGCAGTGTTGAACACCAATACTGGCTTTCTCCCATTTGCTTTAGCTTGACTTGTCATTTGTCAAAACTTTGCTCACTCGTCATGCCAGAGACCCGGGTTCTACAATGTGTGAAGCCCATTTCAAGTTTCCCCCGCCATGATATGGAATATTGCTAAAATCTGCGTAAAACTAGACTCACTAAGATAATAAACCCATGTACTTGATCTTAACATGTCAAAACTTCGTCACCAGGAGATTACAAATTACATCATCTGAGAAACACACTATCTACACAGGCTCGCTTCATATTTGTACAAGATCAATATTGTTAGTTCACAAAGTTCTCATCTTAAAATATACCGAGCATTGTGCTACTCACAGCCTGAATTCCTAGATCATCCATCAGTGCCATGTTGGCCTGCTCATCATGATGGCTGAGAGTGCCTGCGGAGAACAGGTGCTTGGCCTCAGCTTCAGCTGAACAAACCACCTTCACCTGGAGACACACACAGCACACTCATCTTACTATTGAACATACATCACAAGGTAAGTCTTCATACTCTGTCATCAATCAATCTGTTTTGCCCAAGAATTAAGTCCAAAGGTTAGGGGAAAATGCTCCTCAGGGACATATTTTGGGGGGAATGGGGTGGGGATAGGGGCACCCCCACAACCCCCCTCTGGATCCGCTCCTGATTAACCTACAAATGTGCAATCTGTCAAATATCTTGTAACATATGTTATATTTGGGATTACACTTTCTTAGTAAAGTACAGATTCTTGTACTTTTTGTTGAGGTGAGTCCCATCTGTGATTCGAACCCACACCCTGAGAGTCAGGCATCTAATCGCCAGCACACAAAGTCAGACGCTTAACGGCTCAGCCACCGCAACAACTGATAGTCTAAACTGCGGACTTTGTGTACCCCTCGTATAAGTGTAACTTGGCAGATGGGATTCAACCCAAAAACAGTACTAGAATCTGTACTTTACTAAGAAAGTGTAACCCCAAACATAACATATGTTACATTTGACCACTTTCTAAATGGCATTGTGTAATCCTGTCAAATACCTTATTGTCATAGAAATTGTCAATGAGCGTGATGAACCTCCTGCCCTCAGTTTTGTTCTGTAGAGTCATTTGAGGGATGTCTCTAATGATGACGACGTCAAACTCCTGGCTGATACGGAGGTAGTCTACGGCACCTAGTGCCTGGCAAAACAGAAACAAACAAACATTTTAAACTGTCTTTGACTGACTGAGTGTGGTTTTACGCCGCTGTTAGCAATATTCCAGCAACATCATGGCGGGGGACACCAGAAATGGGCTTCACACATTGTACCCATGTGGGGATTCGAACCCGGGTCTTCGGCGTGACGAGCCAACGCTTTAACCAATAGGCTACCCCACCGCCCCCAACTGTCTTTGAAACAAGCTTTGCTCATAATACTTATTCACTTGAAGGAATTTTCCCTCAAATACATAATACATGTCATGATGGCGAAAGTCACAAGTGTTTACAACTTTGGTGAAGCCTGAGTGCACTGTTTGGTGCTGACAAACCAAGATGAACTAACAGAACAAATCTGGGATTCGAACCCATAATGCAGATTTGGGAGGTGGGTTAGCCTAGTGGTTAAAGCATTCGCTCGTCACGCCGAAGACCCGGGTTTGATTCCCCACATGGGTACAATGTGTGAAGCCCATTTTCTGGTGTCCCCCTGCCATGATATTCTTGGAATATTGCTAAAAGCGGCGTAAAACTAAACTCACTCACATGATGCAGATACTAGATACTAGCATGGATAAATGAAGCTAGAGTCAGGACCAGACAATCCAGTGATTGACAGTATAAGCAATATTCCACACTGTCTGGGCAAACTGACAAGCAACCAAACAGGGGATCTTTTCCTAACAAAAAACAATTGCTTTGAAAAACCAAAAGCATACCTCAGGCAGGAGTGATCTTTGCCATATGAGGTCAACAAAAACATTCTCAAAGTAAGAAAAGCAAGATTTATGGATGTCAACTTCTTTATTGTGAATAACACGACGTCATCAGGTGAAGGAGCAAGCATACACTCCGAAATGTCGTGTTATTCACAATAAAGAAGTTGACATCCATAAATCTTGCTTTTCTTATGCATTCCACTTCTAAATGCCCTTCAAAATTTTGATTCTCCAAGTAGATTTTGTTTACAGATCATATGCCTTAGTGAGGTGAGGTGAGGTGAGGTGAAATTGGGTTTAACGTCGTGCTTGAGAATATTTCGCTCATATGACGACGTGCATGCATGTATATGTGTATGTGCGGCTGTTTGTACTAGCCCAGACTTAAGCTGGTTTTATAGTGCTAGCCCACTGAGATACCATGCCGCAGTGAAGCATGAATACCCCACTCAGACACATTTTACTGACACCGAGCCGACCAGTCCTTGTTGTACCCATTAATGCCGAGTGCCAGGCAGGGACCAATAAGTACCATATTTTAACATCTTTTGGTATGATGCGAACGGGGATCGAACCAGCGACCTTCCGCTCTCCGGGCGGATGCTCTAACCACTACACCACGGAGGCGGCCCTATGCCTTAGTGACAATGCAGTATGTGATCGATACTATTTGGTTTACCATTTAGCATTTTTCCAGTTCATGAATACATACTATCCCAGTTCTTAACAGCATTTCTGACTATGTTTTTCCTTGTCTACTGACCCGTGAACGAACCTTCAGTAACCCATGCTTGACGTAAGAGGCGACTAACGGGATCGGTGGTCAGGCTTGCTGGCTTGGTTGACACATGTCATCGGTTCCCAATTGCGAAGATCGATGCTCATGCTGTTGATCACTGAATTGTCTGGTCCAGACTCAATTATTTACAGACCGCCACCATATAGCTGGAATATTGCTGAGTGCAGCGTCAAACTAAACTCACTCACTCACTCCTTGTCTACTGACCTGGGCCTCGTTTCACAAAGCTATCGTAGCGTTACGACTGTCATAAGTCTATGTTACAGTATGGGAGGTGCGAATGCTTCGAGAAAAGTTACGAGATCTTAGGCTTATGAGAGCTTTGTGAATCGGGGCCTTGGGCTTTACATACGAACTTGCAACACAAACCATCAAACGCCATGAAGCTGAACATGCCATAAAGATCAGTTGTAGTTTGTGTTAAATTTCACAAATATTATCAAGAGCAAGGTCACTATCTTTGTTGGATAGGAAATTCTCTAGGACATAAAGAGTTAATAGATTCCCAACAAGGCTTTGACTCACCCATTGTATGCACTGCCTGGTAAGCTAGATTTTGGTACACTGAGTTCTACCTCTGGGATATTTCTGAGTACAGACATCTACTTGGGTATTTGGGGTAGATTTATGGACTACATCATAAAACTGCTGAAGCATAACTTAGTTATTATGTCTGCTGAAGGTGGGGTAGGCAAGGTAGTACGTACAGTCTGGCATAAATGGCTGAATGATGAGTCCAGAACTCGACCACACGTGACTGGCAGTTTCAGATCACGGCCCAGGATTCTCAGAGTCCGAGGACGTATTACTGAAATCATCATTAAATATGATCTCAATCATAATCATAATCTCATACATGTAACAAACTGTATATTGAAGATAAATAACTGCTAAACTTCAAATTAAAGAGTGACAGTACTCAACACTCTGGGCCCACTTTCACAAAGCAATGTTAGCGCAATGATGATCATAACTCCCACACTCAACATGGACCTAAGGAACTCATAGCACTAAGATCACTTTGTGCAAGCGGGCCACCTATTCCCATACCATGTCCAGACTTGGTGTCTTGTGTAAAAGGGGCCATGGGTTGGCCATGGGTTAAGGTGTTTGTTCATCACACGGACGGCCGGGTTCGATTCCCCACATGGGTACGATATGTGAAGCCCATTTCTGGTGTACACTGCTATGATATTGCTTGAATATTGCTAAAAGCGGCATAAAACTAAACTCACTCAATCACTCTTGCAAAAGTAAGACAATGACTTTGAGTAATTAGCGTGATCACTAACCATTTGATTCATATACAGCCTAAACTTGAGTGATCAGGCAACAGGTTCTTATTGCCCTAGGTACCTATCCACAAGGAGTTCATAACACTATGACATGTCATAATTCAAAAGATAATCCTAGGCTTACGATTGCTAAAGCTCTAAAAACGCTACTTTGGATCTGGACCCTGACTTCACTTAGGTCAAGTCTCTATAGCATGCATATCTTCATGAACTCAGAGACACGGAGCTTAAAGATTATTCATTGTCTTTCCGCTATATAACTACTTATGTAATTTTAAGATTGAGTTTGATGTAGCACCACTTTGAACAGTTTTTCAGTTATATGTTGGAGTGTCTGTTTGATGTGAAAGGATTGAGACTAAGATGTTTACCATACACAGAGGCAGTTAATTAACACTAGGGGGGACTACTGAGGGACAAAACTATTGCGATAGCATAGTCAATTGCAACATACTACATGCGATAGCGATAGTCTATTGCAACATACTACATGTACCAACTATTGCAATACTATAGCAGTAGTTTTTCTCAACATACCATTGAATTGTCTCATTTGAAGTCATTTCCCAGATGAATGTATTGTTTATAAGAAATAAAAACAAGTTGAAGTAGTTTCAGTCTCTTTTTATGAGTGACAAGAAACTTGAAACCCAGATCAAGTAAGCAGTTAAAACATGAACTCAATGAAGCTGCAAGTCTGCACCCAAACATCCTGTATTTTGCAGTGCACATTTATCAGCTTAAATCAAATACAAAACTATCGATAGTTACACATGCTATCGATGCATCAATAGTTTTTCGTTTCTACCATCGATTAATTGCTAACGGAGACTCAACAATTGCAACCCATCGATAGTTTGATGCATCGTTACAGCCCTAATTAACACACTTGCTGGATTAACCCTTTTAAACAATGTTTTTATGAATTTGAAGACCTTATCTTGAAAGTAAAATTTAGGGCCTTTGTAAAAGCCAGACTGACAAAATTCATAGCCTTTTAAGAATGTGTGTTTGTATCATGGGTAGACAGTGCAAACACAGGAACATGATGTATGACGTGGTCAGTTGGTGCGATGTTGCAGTCAAGGGGAGACAACTCACTGGCATTCTGACTCTTCATGTAGATCTTCAAACACTCTGTCGACTTCATACTGGCTATCACACATAGACTTTCTAAAATAGTAAAACAAAATCTCTGATGCCATTACCAGAAAATCCTTACACCTTCACTGAGTTTATCTGACAAATGTGTACAAATATTTCAATTTACTTCAAAAAGCCATAACGCTTTACACAGCTTTTATGGATTTTACAACATTTGTTAAGGGACACCATGAAAAATCATAATTGTATCAGTGTATTTGGTATGATAAGCCCCATTGTAACAGCTGTGCTAGCCAACCACATCTGACCACCCAGTTCAGAAACGTTATAAACTTACATGAAATACGTCCTTCCTTCAGCTGGAAGTGTCATCATACGATAGTCGACTCCTGAGTCGAGACATACAACTTTGCTGTAGTTCTGAAACAGTATCTCAGGATCACAGTTGTTCCAACACACACAGCATGTATTACAGAGAATCATTTCTGTTCCTTGATGGATATTTCATTGCCACTTTCATTTTCTCCTGCAGCCATAACAAAATGGAATGTGCCCTCACCAATACACACAGCAGCATCAGTGACTTCCTTCAAAAAACACCTAAAGACTTATCTTTTAGAAAAGAAATTATCACATACATAAATAACAACTTGGCAGTGCACAGAGCACACACTAGTGTGAAGTGATGCAATACATTTTTGTCAACATCGGCTGTTTTCAGTACTTAAAGGTTTGTGTACACTTAATCACCTCAAAAACATAGGGCTGATGTGCAGTGAGGGCTAAATAACACCTTCTAAGGATAACACCTTCTTCTTCTGTTATATGATGTAACATTTTGGCAAAGATCCTTATACCTAGGGTTTAACACAGCACAGAAATGAGCGTCCAGTATGGAGAATTGCATGGTATGGATGCAAAATAATGTAATTTTCTGAGTAAAATTGATATTTTATACTTATCCTGACTCATGCTTATGTGCTTGTCTCTTCTTCTTTGCGAACACAGTGGAACACTTGTATCTCCCAATTGAAGTTCCTTTCAATGTAAAATCACTAATTAGTACTCACCATGAGTTATCTTTCCCCTCGCAGGCGCGGGAACGAGGGCGCCACCTCCCACCATGTGCCTCATTCTCTCCTTTTATAGCGAGCCCAACACTTGAATTTACAGGGAAATCCAAAGTGTTATGTGGGAAGGACGGGAGGGCTTACCTCATGAGTCAGGATAAGTATAAAATATCAATTTTACTCAGAAAATTACATATTTTTCCTTATCCTGACTCATGCTTATTTGCTTGTAGAATCCGACGGCTATGGAGGTGGGAATATATAAGACTTTGGATTTGGATAATTAGTGATTTGAATTGTAATGACTGTAATAACCCTATGGGAACTTCATAAAGGCACTGAACTGATGAATTCCTGCTGCTAACTTATCAGCTGCCATATATGGGTTATTACAATATAACTATTACAATATACTTATTACGATAAAGTATATACAACATTAATACAAAGCTTAAGACTAGTAGACTTAAGTTGTTAATGTGATAGCATAAACTCCTTGAGTTTATAGTTAATATACTTTTATGAAGTAACCAAAGTACTAAGCTTAAGATATGCATAAACTTAAGCTATATGAGTATAGTACTGTGCTTAAGATATAATTTAACTTAAGCTATATAATAGCAAAACCTCCAGGAGTTTGTTAGCTAATATATATATAAAATGTGACCATATTACTGAGCTTAAGATATGATGAAACTTAAGCTAAATATAATAGCAAAACTCCTTAGAGTTGTTAGCTAATATATTGTATGATATAATAACCATAGTACTGAGCTTAAGATAATAGATTGAACTTAAGCAAAATATATATATAGCATGTAGCTATTTAGTACTGATATCAGATAAGTATAAATCTGTAAGATTGACTTATCTTCTCCGAGGAACTGTCAACTGTTGAGCGAGGACCATGGGACCGAAATGGTGGATACCTGAGACGTCCTTGGTGGTGATATCTCTCAGATAGTGGTTGGCAAACACCATATCGGATCTCCAGAAACAACCCTCCATTATGGTATTCAAAGAGCAGTTGCCGTGTAGAGCAAGTGTTGATGCTAGCGCTCTAATTTCATGAGGATTAGATGCTCTTGGAGGGTCGAGTCCTGCAGCCTTGTAGGCACGTAGTATGACAGTTCTGATCCAAATTGAGATAGTAGTACGTGAGACTTCGTCTCATGAGCTGTAGATAGAGGGATAAATAATCTCTTGAATTTTCCTCTCCTCTGTTTGGATCGGTGGAAATATATTTTCAGTGCTCTTACTGGGCATAGTGATAGATCCATCGTATCATGAGGTCCAAGTATGGATGAGAGAGCTGGGACGTGGAATAATCTGTCTGGTTGACCTGGCAATTGGTTCTTAGCTATAAAATCCCAGCGTAGTCCCAGATGAACGATGTTATGAATATCATCAAAGTGTGTTCTCTCAGAATCCAAAGCGTGAATCTCTGACATCCTGGCAGCCGTGAAGCTAAGCTAACAGGAACAAAGTTTTCTGGGTCAGTGATTCAAACGATGTAGATTCTAATGGTTCATAAGCCTCACTTGTGAGGTGTTGGAGCACTATATTTAGATCCCAAGCTGGAGCGTGAAACTTCCGTTTGTGATCCTCCAATCGGAATGCTCGTAGCAAAGCGAGTAACTCTGGGGTCTTTGTTAACTTGACGCCGCTCTCATAGTTATGACAGAGCTTAATGCTGCAAGATAAGTGGACAAAGTTGAGCCTTTTAGATTCTTAGTTTGTCGTAGATAACATAAGTAGTCCGCCACTTGAGGATGAGTAGCATATCTGGCTGTAAATCCTTTCTTTGCAGCATAATTAACAAAACTGTGACATTTGTCATCGTATAAGTTGCGAGTTGAGTTAAGCAGTGCAAGCGTGACTGCTTTTGCCGCTCTGGCTGAGTAACCTCTCTTATTCAGACATGCCTTGATACAATCCATACGTGAAGTTGGAATACTGCTGGTTTTCCGTGCACTTGTTTGGTGTGCGGATGTATCAATAGATTCGAGCGTTCTGGAAGTTGTAGAATTGGTTGTCCGATTTCTTGAATAAGATTTGAAACCACGCTCTCGCTGGCCAGTAGGGCCGCGACCAAAATCAGATGGAGGCTCTGCGCTTGACTGATTTTCCGTAAAGACTTGTGGGATTAACGCTGGTGGCGGAAAGCATCACGCTGTTGAGTCCCTCCCACGATATGCTTAGTGCGTCCGTTGCCCATGCTAGTGGGTCTGGAACTGGCGATACGAAAGTTGTCAGTTGTTTGTTGAATCGAGTGGCGAATAGGTCTACTAGTGGAGATCCTATTTCCATGATTATTTGAGTGAATATCTCTGTGTGGAGCATCCATTCTGTCGGCGACGGTAGGTGTGGCCGAGAGAGAGCGTCTGCTAATACATTCTTTGCTCCTGGAATGTGGCAAGCTCTGACATGTATGTTTAGATTGTCGATTAGATCGAATAATCGGAAACATAGAGACAGTAGGTTCGGTGACCTTGTTGAGCCTTGTTTGTTCACATAAAACGCCACTGTCGAATTGTCTGTGTGAATCATCAACTGAGCATTCTGTAGTAGGTTGCTCCAGTGACTTATGGCGTTTATGACTGCTTGCATCTCTAGCAGATTTATGTGACATTTGCTCTCTTGATTGCTCCATAGGCCTAGTATAGTTAGTAGCTTGATTATAAAGTTCAGCTGTAGTCTGAAACGCTGTGGATCTGGATCCACTTGTATCCCGTCGTCTAGGTAAAATGCGCTGCGAAGACCTTGACGATGTAGGTATGCGACAATAGGCTTCGTCACTCTTGTGAATACCCAAGGGGACGATGAGATTCCGAAGGGAAGTACTTTCCATTGGTAATGTTTCCCGTCTAGGATAAATCTTAGATATTTCCTTGAATGGGGATGAATCGGAATGTGTAGATATGCGTCTTGCAAATCTATGCTGGCCATGTAATCTTTGGGAAGAATTAAGTGCCGAAGTTGTGGTAAGTGTATCATGCGAAACGCTGGCGGTTTGCTTAGATAGTCTTTGTTGAAGATGCTCATGTTGTATATGAGACGAAACTTTTCCTTGGAATTTTTCTTGGGCACTAGGAAAACTAGGGAGTAGAAACCTGGTACGATGTTTCGCTGATCCAGAACTTCTAAGGCCTGTTTGTTTAGCAGAGTAGCTACTGTTTCCCTTAACATAGGTAGTTGTGCTGGTTGAAAGTCGAACCTTGGAGGGATGACTGTTAACGGAGGTATGGCCTTGAGTTGTATTTGATATCCGTGCTGTGGGATGTTGGATACATAAGGATCTTGTAGTAATCCCCAGTTTTCCCAGTGCAGCTGAAGGCGTCCACCCACTTGAGAAGGTTGTACTGGAACGGCTGGGGTGGAAGACTCCAGTCGTTCCGAACCTGTATTTCATCGTCTAAATCCGTGGGAACCTCTGGATGATCTGCCTCTTGCTGATCCTCCTCTGAAATTGCTGTATGGGCGACGAAAAGATTCCCTGGGACCTTTTGCTGTAGCCAATTTCTTGTCCCGTGCTTTCTGTAGTCCAGAGAATTTAGACTTGCCAGAGTATCTCAAGGATGATTGCTTAATGACGTTCGCTAACGTATCCATGGACTTGATGATAAGCACCTCTCTAGAGTCCTTAGACACCTCTTTGGAGACCTTGTCTATGTTACCACCAAAGAGTAAGGGCGATGACCATGGGGCAGCGTAGAGTGATTCCGTAAATTGATTATCCAAATTGCAGGAGGCTAGTAGACCCTGACGACGAGCCATGGTAGTAGCTTCAGTAAGCGCTGACAAGTGATCTGTAAGGAACTGATGGTCTCTTTTCTGCATGAGTAGAGCCGAGTAGATCATTCTATCTTCCTCCTCTGTAGAATCTTTGAACTTGGTGATGAGAGTTTCATTGACAGTTCTAGATCTATTCAATCCAAAAACATTCTCCTAGAAATGGTACCCAACTGGGCTAGTTTGCGATCGTCTATTCTGTAATTTCTGGACTTGGCATCACTGATTAACTTAAAGTTGTCATCAATCTCTTGAGCCTTGAAAAAGGAGTCCATATTGTGACCTGCAAATTTCTTGGCGCTGAAAACCGGGAAATGTGTTGATTGGAATTTCGTAGATTTGGTAAAGGCTGTATCCAGATTAGCTGGAACCGCTGCTATCGGGTCAATAGGAGGTAAGGAGATAGTGTCCGCATCATCTTCCTTCATCAAATAAGTATGAGCTGAGTTCTCGTTCTTAGACGGGGAAGCAAGTTCCAATCCATTCACCATCCAGTATCTAATTTCTGCATCTGAGAATACGATACCTTCTTCCTCTTCTGATGTAGGATCACATATAATAGAGTGAGGTGGAGTCCTAGATCTGTAAGAAGATCGACGAGAAGATTGTGGTGAACGGACTGACGAGTGGCTAGTATAGGGAGACCTTGGAGGAGACTTCCTCGGCGAACGCTGGTGGCTTCGTGAAGCTCTCGATGTATCCCTTCTAGATCTTCTGGGTGAAGATGACTTGGAGCCACTTAACCTTCGTGATGGCCTTCGGGAAGGTATCGAGTCAGAGTCCGAATCATTATATGGGAGCCTGTTTCGCGAACGACCTCTGTGTTCTACAGGGTCTGAGCTCGGTGAAGCACTCCTCCTCCGCGAAGCCCTTCGCAACTGGTGAGGATCTGGATCCTTCGTGGAGGCAGCCTGGGATGTTCTTCGCGAAGGCGCGTTTGTGGGCTCTATGGCCCTACGCGAAGTGATAGCTGGCTCTGGGGCCCTACATGACTTATTATGGGTTGGGCTCTGGGGCCCGCGGCTCTGAGGCCTCTGTAAACCGTATCAGTCTTCCATCAACATCAGGATTTGGTTAACCAGGTCGTCTGGGACGGTCTGCGCTGGCGTTGAGGGTGTCCTCTCTGTGATAGTGACGGGACCCTCAGTTATAATCTCAGGCGTCAGCGTAGGCATCTCTGGTTGCGTGTTGATCTGCGCTGAAGTGACGGTAGCCGATACTGGTCGCTTCTTATGCCGTACATCTGGAATGATAATCGGAATGTCATCATCATATAAACACAATTCTGAAACAGGTAGAATGTCAGAAGCAAAGTTTTTAGTAGACTTCGTGGATTTCCCTTTTGACGAAGCTGTAGACCTGGGGGTTCGGAGCGTACGTTGAGACGACGTGGAAGCTCTTCTAGTCTTAGACTGTGATGATGGAATGTCCTGGGATGCAGGTCGCTTCTTGGATATAGCGGACTGCGTCCCACGCTTCTCCCCCGAAGGTAACTCAGGCGGAACACCAGACGGTAGAGGGTCGTCCGCAAACAGTTGACAGGGTATATCTGACTCTGATCTATTAGCCATGACTGAAGATTGTTTCCGAGATCTATCTGCCGCCCGTCTCAAGATGGAATATAAATATTTATCAAAGGCAGAATTAGACAAATTAATACATAATTTGCAGCGTGAAACAATAGAGCATGGAATTATGCAACTAGGGCATACTAAATGCGGATCGGCAGCAGAGTAACGTAATTTACAAACAGTGCAGATTTTCATTAACGCAAACTGCTGAGCAAACACGGCGAACCGTGAATAAAGCAGCAGAAACACGAATAAATATCAATGCATGTTGCATAAGGATACTAGTTACACCTCTATAGATGAATATAAGAGGTACCAAACTAAATATAAATAAAGGATATGTGTGTAGGGAGACACAGGCGCTCTCACGTCCAGCTCACTGGGCGAAGAAGGAGAGAGTGAGGCACATGGTGGGAGGTGGCGCCCTCGTTCCCGTGCTTGCGAGGGGAAAGATAACTCATGGTGAGTACTAATTAGTGATTTTACATTGAAGGGAACTTCAATTGGGAGATACAAGTGTTCCACTGTGTTCGCAAAGAAGAAGAAGACAAGTAAATAAGCATGAGTCAGGATAAGGAAAAATATACATATATTGTGTCAGTAATATATGCACAATAATATTAATTGTACCAAACTCCTGACAAGAAATATATGAAATGTGCAAATCTAATACTGGGGTAATAAAAACATTTTAGATAATAGTCAGCTACACCATTTAATTACTTTACAGGACCCTAATACTTCCAATAATGACTTGTAAAATTAGTTTTTCGGAGTCCCCTGAAGCATATTTTTTGTAGGTCAAGATACAACCCTGTTATACTGTTTTAAAGCAAGAATGAGTGAGTGAGTTTAGTTTTACACTGTTTGTAGCAATATTCCATCAATATCACAGTAGGGGACACCAGAAATAGGTTTCACACATTGTTGTTATATGGGGAATCGAACAGTTGTATGTCTACCACAAGTATACTCATAACTCTGATGTAGCTACGAGATAATTTGTAGTAGCAAATTCTGTTACATTTGATAACACAAGTATACTCGTGGTAGACAGTGTTAACCACTAAAGCAAGAATGAAGCAATACAGCACATTTTAGAGTTAAATATAAATAAAGAGAGATTAACAAAAACAACATAAACGTTTGCTTGAAAGGAACTAACAACAACAGAAACAATAACAAAGGTTCCACAAAAGTATGCTTGTTTCCTTCAGGATGGCTAGTGCAACAGATTCAGTGAGGTGAGGTGAAATTGTGTTTAACATCGGGCTTGAGAATATTTCGCTCAAATGACGACGTGCATGCGTGTGTATGTGTATGCGCGTCTGCTTGTACTAGCCCAGACTTAAGCTGGTTTTATAGTGCTAGCCCACTGAGATACCATGCCACAGTGAAGCATGAATACCCCACTCAGACACATTATACTGACTCCGAGCCGACCAGTCCTTGTTGTACCCATTAATGCCGAACGCCAGGCAGGGACCAACAAGTACCATATTTTAATGTCGTTTGGTATGACGCGGTCGGGGATCGAACCCACGACCTTCCGCTCTCCGGGCCACGGAGGCGGTCCAATGCTAAAGCCCTAAATAAAGAAATTCTAGATTTCCACAGGTTTAAGTTCTGAATCTCCCTTCTCACTCGGGCTCCTTTTCAGTTCAAAAGGACATGTTTATTTCTATCAAAATTATATTTTCTCACAGATTCAGTGAGGGAGCTTAGTTTTATGTTGTACTCAGCAATATTCCTGCTATAATGGTCTGTAAATAATCAAGTCTGGACCAGTCAATCCAGTGATCAACAGCATGAGCATTGATCCTCACAATGAGGATATGATGACATGTGTCAACCAACTCAGCAAGTCTGACTACCCGATCCCGTTAGTCGCCTCTTACAACAAGCATGGGTTACTGAAATCCAATTCTAACCCAGATCTTCATGGGTCACAGCAGACTCAATTTTCGGTGAGAAAAATTAATTGTCTTCAAGTGTCAGTCAAGTATGCTACTATCACAAATTTGTAAGTTTGCCAACAGGTAGAAATACTTTGGACGATTTTAATATTATAATATCATAGGGGCGGTGGGGTAGCCTAGTGGTTAAAGTGGTCGCTCGTCTCGCCAATGTGTGAAGCCCATTTCTGGTGTCCCCTGCCGTGATATTGCTGGAATATTGCTAAAAGCAGCGTAAAACCATACTCACTCACTCATTATATCATAAGTTAGACTGACCCTTTCTTTTCACATGTTCCACTGAAACTGACAATACCCTTTTCAGTATCATAGTCCCCAAGATTGTTTAATGAATCATACATTTCCCTAAGCATGTTTATATGTTCATTTCAACATGTTTATCTAGTTAACTCTTTTGAAAGTGTATATACAGTGCCTTTATATCATGCCTTCATATTATGGCTTCATATGGTGCCAAAACCAAATGATTTCCAAGTGTATCCTTCAGGTACCAGGAACTTATCTAATCCAGCCATTATTGACCAGGCTGTGCTTGTGTAATACAAGGAACTTGCAAGCCATTCTTTAGAAACCAGACTGATGAGAATATGTGAGTAAAGGAAAGTAGTACCTTCAATATCCCTATGAAAGGCACAAAGTTGGCACGTTGTAGACCATTCTTGTAGAGATCTGAGTAAAAGAAAACAAATCAGAGTACATGATAATTGAAACCAAGATGAACAATTATTCACATTAAACGTGCAGAATAGGTCTCCCCGATCATACTTATCATGAATGAGTGAGCGAAATAGTCTGTGAGTCTGAGAGTGAGTGCGTGAGTGAGTGAGGGAGTAATGTCACTTTTAACAGTACTCAAGTAATAACAGTTTAATGGTGGAAGAAAGCCTTATAATGTCATTGTTGATAATGTCATTATACCTTGCTGATAATGTGTCCTTACACCTTGCTGATGTGTCCTTTTACCCTGCTGATAATGTGTCCTTATACCCTGCTGATAATGTGTCCTTTTACCCTGCTGATAATGTGTCCTTATACCCTGCTGATAATGTGTCCTTATACCCTGCTGATAATGTGTCCTTTGTGTCCCTTACCCTTGCTGATAATGTGTCCTTATACCCTGCTGATAATGTGTCCTTTTACCCTGCTGATAATGTGTCCTTATACCCTGCTGATAATGTGTCCTTATACCCTGCTGATAATGTGTCCTTATACCCTGCTGATAATGTGTCCTTATACCCTGCTGATAATGTCCTTATACCCTGCTGATAATGTGTCCTTATACCCTGCTGATAATGTGTCCTTATACCTTGCTGATAATGTGTCCTTATACCCTGCTGATAATGTGTCCTTATACCCTGCTGATAATGTGTCCTTATACCCTGCTGATAATGTGTCATTATACCTTGTTGATAATGTGTCATTATACCTTGCTGATAATGTGTCCTTACACCTTGCTGATGTGTCCTTTTACCCTGCTGATAATGTGTCCTTATACCCTGCTGATAATGTGTCCTTATACCCTGCTGATAATGTGTCCTTATACCCTGCTGATAATGTGTCCTTATACCCTGCTGATAATGTGTCCTTATACCCTGCTGATAATGTGTCCTTATACCCTGTTGATAATGTGTCCTTATACCCTGCTGATAATGTGTCAATATACCTTGTTGATAATGTGTCCTTATACCCTGCTGATAATGTGTCCTTTTACCCTGCTGATAATGTGTCCATATACCCTGCTGATAATGTGTCCTTATACCCTGCTGATAATGTGTCCTTATACCCCGCTGATAATGTGTCCTTATACCCTGCTGATAATGTGTCCTTTTACCCTGCTGATAATGTGTCCTTATACCCTGCTGATAATGTGTCCTTATACCCTGCTGATAATGTGTCCTTATACCCTGCTGATGTGTCCTTATACCTTGTTGATAATGTGTCCTTATACCCTGCTGATAATGTGTCCTTATACCCTGCTGATAATGTGTCCTTATACCCTGCTGATAATGTGTCATTATACCTTGTTGATAATGTGTCATTTTACTCCATGAACCACTGCAAATATTATTATCCATGTAAACAATAAAAACAATCACATTCTTACAAACTGACAGCTTTGTAATCACCAATTTCTTCATAGATTCACCCATGGAACACCTAGTAAACATTGATAGGTAATGATATATATTTTTCACTAAAGAACATAGATACCATTTGGATGTCTGTTTGAAGTTGCCACAACAACAACGCCATTTTCAAACAGCTCTGTGAACAGCCGTTTTAGAATCATTGCATCGGCAATGTCTGTTACTTGGAATTCATCAAAACATAACAGCCAGGTGCTTTCACTGATTTCATCGGCTACAGGAGCTATAGGGTCGAAAGCCTGGGATCTCTTTACGTTCCTGTGTTTGGGCTGGCTATGCTTCAACTCATGGATTCCTGGAAACAACATAACATATCAATATCAGTATGTGCCCAAAAATGTAATTTTTATGATAAAATTAATATTTTATACTTATCCTGACTCATGACTGATGAACTTGGCTATTGGCATCGTTTTCAGTAGTTAGTGAGAATGTTTTTACTCTGTGTTTAGCAATATTCCAGTACTGTCCAGGTGATTGACACCAGAAATGAACTTCACACTTTAAACCCTTATTCAAGTCAGGGAGCCTGACCTCCCGATACCATTAGTTGTCTCTTACGACAAGCATGGGTCCCTACTGGCAACTCATTAGGAATTACTCTTAGTCAATGGTACTGAAAGAAATATGACGTACACAAAAAATAGCTTTTTTAACAAAGGTGGGGGTTGTCCAACATGAAATATAGATGGGAAATGAGGGGGCCAATTAATATTCAAAGGCTTAATCTTCCATTCCTCCAATATATGATACTTATATAAGATCAGAAAGTGAAGTCTTATTTTTTTGTTTGAACTAGAGATGCAATGTACTCTCTGAAACTTGACAAAATAATTGTAAATTTGTACAATTTCTATAAAGTATCATCAAGGACCTATTGACAATGGTTGGGGACATCAGAAATGGACTTCACACATTGCAACCATGTGGAGAATCAAACGCATGTCTGCAGCATGATGAGCGAATGCTTTAACCACTAGGCTACCCCTCCACCCCTTTAGTAAGTATGTAAATAACTTACGCCTGTGTACATCTAACATAAACTTGTGGAAGTGGACTCGTTGTTTCCTCCTCACTGAGCATGTATGGAAGAACATGTCCATCAGCATCGTCTTCCCGCAACCTGCACAACACAGAACGACATCAACATCATTTGATTTTACAATGCTTTTAGCATAATGGCAATATTGCTGCAACATCATGGCAGGAGACAGCAAAAACACAGTGTACCCTTGTGGTGAACCAGTCTGGACCCTTGACATGACAAACAATCACTTAAACCTCCAGACCCAAAGCTTGTCATTAATGTGCAATAGTAGGAGAATTACTGATCACATAAATAATGTACTACAAGCAGGGTTTTACATGACGCACAATTCCTGCGAATTTGAAGCAACAAGTTTGTAAACAACTCTCAAAATATTATCATACGAGTCAGCTTGATGCAAGTTTTGTGGGTGGCCCTCACAATTCAGTTCAATAAAATCGATTTGATAAGCAAACTATCATATTGTTCGATGATAGTTTGACTTTTACAGAGCTGTCAGATTGTTCCAGAGAACTCAGAGGAGACAGTAATCCTGGCTGTTTGAACTGAACAATGCTGTAGTTGCATTTGATGGTGTGACATACACAGTTACATACTGAGAATGATTAACACAAAGAAATTTTAAATTTTCATGACTCCCAAATATTGAAAATGACTCCCAAAATAAATATTGTGAGTCACCATGACTCCCATTTTTAGAAGTCTGTGTAAAACCCTGACTACAATACAATGAATGTCTCACAAGAAATATTTGATATAACATATACGTATAGATAGATCAATATTTCATTGACACATGAGTAACTCAACTCACCAACACTTCCATACAAGTAAAGGCCCTGAGGAGCTGAAACTTGCTGAGAGGAGCCAAATCCTAGACTCTGTAATACCAGGAAGAGCCTTTAGTCATTGTTAGCAATGTCAGGTTGAAGTTTAAATTGCCAAATCTCCAGAGGTACAGTGCTAATAATGAAAACTCTGGGAATCTGAGAACCTGAACGGCTGTTCCGTTTCTGCGGTTTCGGCCCGCCGCGACAGATAACAACTTTTCCGTTTTCAATGATGATAGTTTCTTAAACAACTTTTTGGGTGGAGTCCGGAAAATTTTCAAATATAAGACAGCTGTTGGGTATTAGTAAATGATAAACATGAGTACTATTTATATTTATGTGGCAATTTTGTACAATGATACAATTTGCAATTCATCGGTCCATTTCTGACCCAAACAGACTGTAGCTGCATCTCTACACAAGTGTGGTGGAATGTGACTCAACATCATGTTCAACATTATTGCACACAGAGGCATTGATTCAGAGTTAAAAATCTTATTTTAATAAGATTGATAAAGAAAGAACCTGGGATGCAATTTTATATCAATGCATTTGGTTGTACAATCAGAGAAATGGAAGTCTTAACATGGTTAACAGACCAGACAGATGGTTGGACAGACGGACGGACATGTAAATTTAACAAGCAAATGTGACAGCCACAGTATTTGTGATACACTTTTTTCACTCATTCCCACCTGCAACCAGGAGGCATTCTGTGACTGAGGTTTGTATTCTTTGAGCTGCAAATGCAGGTCTTCTAGATATGACACCACCTCTCTCTGATAATCATCCTTCCTCAGCTCTCCAGTCTCGATCTTTGACAGATATGCTGCCAAGGGGCCATTGTAACCTTGAAAAGTTACTTCTTCTGTCAAGCTGTCCGTTGCCGAGTTGTTACCATTTTCTGGAGTGATTTTATTTTTTTATATATTCCACATAATTTGCAAATGGGTATACATAGAGTAATTTATCATTGAAGACCTAACGGCCTTTCTAAAACATACTGAGCAGTTTTGACATTCAGCATCAATAACTGAGTCGACATAAATTTAATGGCAACAAATGCTGCGAATTGTACTAGATGAACAGATCTAATGAATGCTGATGCATTCTCCGTCAAGTGCACAGCTTTGATGGTGTGTTTTTTTTTACTGCATGTTAGGAACAGCTGTTTCATTAATGCTTCTGGGCCATTTGCTATCACGCCAGAATGTAATCGTTCGCATTCATACTGTAAAGATGGTAATGTTTTTCATTTTTTTTCTGTGCTGTGACAAAGTGACGTCTAAATTTAGAAATATCAAATGTCTTTGAAACTGAGAGCAGATTTTGATCAGGAAAATATTGCCCTTGGTGTTATACAATACTATTACTAAGCAATCACGGTCAAATCCATCGGTAGCGACCGCAGCCGCCGCTAGGGGCGCTAGTGTCGTTATTTTTAGAATTGCGGACGATTTTGGGTCACGGACAGGCCGACGTTTAAGGTCCAAGTACGCATATTTTGACCAAATGTATGCGATTTTTTTTATGGTGTCCCGTCGTACACATGTTCAAGTGCGCGTATTTTGCAAAACTAGCATCTGACCACGAAGATGAAGAAACGACGGTAAGTTGAACTTTGCTCTCTTTTTAAACGTATGCCAAATATTGTAAAAATATTTATTTTCTTGAACTATGGGCAAATACGCTTAATATAATCATTAATTTACATGCACAAAAAGTTTGGTATTTTTAGGAAGCATATAACGTACTGAAATGAGACCTTAAACTTTTCTTGTGTCATTGCCGCGAATCGCGTACCTTGGTCATTTAGAGTTATCTGCCCTTGACACTATGAAGCAGGTAAAGTCGACGCAGTTATTCAGCTATTTTTTCACAACGAAAGTTTTTATAAATAACATCTTTGTTTATCACGTTTCCTGGATTCCTCTGATCATAGAACATTTTTATTGTTGTGGTAATCGTATTTGAGCAAGAACAGGAAGTTGTCACTCTTTTTGTGTTTACAAATTGCAATTTAGTAACCATGGTAACCTGAGTATGATTTTTTTCAAACTATATGCATGTAAACAATCCCCGTCTCTTAGCAAAGACAAGGCTCATTACATGTTCATTTTAGTGTGTTGAAATAGTGGTAACACTTGTGTGTATAATGATGTGTTTTTACTGTGTTCACTTAAAGCTGACTTTTATATTTATTGAAAACCAGATTGAATGTATGATCATGATGATGGAAGGATCATTGATAAATTGTGAAATGTTATGTATTGTATAGAGGTTTAGTATTTAAACCCAGATTTATCTTCAAAAAAATTAATGAAAGTGTTTTTAATAAATTGTTACTGCATGTATGAAAATTTCATTTTTATGTACAAACAAAAACTGAACAAAAATTAAGTGATAGCCATTTATTGTAGGGTATAAATGGGGTGGGGGCATGTGTGTTTAATGTCAGATGACAATTGAATCTTTTAAGAGTTAATCTTCTCTTGTGTGCTTTAGTGTTTTTCTGAACTGTCAAGTGTTTGGCTGCTAAGAATGCACATATATTATTGTATTATATTACATACATATGTTATATATTGTATTGAAATCGTTGTGTTTTAGAGATTCCTGCTACAAGGGTTGAAGAATGCCTCATCTCGAAGAAAAATACTGTGGAAGATAAATATGAAAACTTGTTATGACTGTCTATGAAAACATGTCAATAACCTATTCACAATTAATGCTGGGAATTGGTTAAATCTCATAATTGATGATTGATTCATTACAACCGATCAATCATCGAAAATAATTGGTTTTCGTCATTTATCAAATCTTCCTGACTGTGCCTTAATGCACAAAAAATATAAAAAAACCATGTAGTTCTTTGGGTTTATTTTGTACACTGCAACCAATCTTTGATTATTTCAATTAATCGGACCACCACAATTCACAATCGTAAAGAGTTACATTTAAAAGCTCCATGATGGTGTCGTAAAGTGCATATATCTAGTAGAGAAAATGAAGAATCAGTGTCTTTTCTCTCTCTCTCTCTCTCTCTCTCTCTCTCACATATCTAACGTGGCAACTGTTGAAAATATGGCAATGTTGAAACTGTTGAAAGTATGTAATACGACTCCTCTCCACGTGGAGTCGTAGTGGTTTGTAAAATCGTGCTTCCTACGACATAGTAAAATATTTTTACAAAGAATTGCTATGACTGTTTATGATAACATGTATTACAAAGTGTAGCTAGATACTGGAAACACATGGTTTTAAGAACAGTGCAAATGACACAATGCATCAAGATAAAATTCATTTGAGCTGTTTCAAACTCTGAAACGTATTTGTCCATATCATTTTCACAATGATTCTCAGCTGATGTCATGTGTATGTATTTGGTCTTAGCGGTGCTGATGTGATGGCAACTGTCTTGTCTATATGTTTTATTATACACTCAAGTATTTTCTTCACGTATTTCTGAAACAGATGGGAAACATCCAGGACCAGTGTTGAAACTGAAAGATAGTTAGACAATGAAGTGACTGAAAAGAACGTTTTTTATGTGTATGATCCCCTCTGTGTGAGGCTTCATTTCAAGTATACTCTGAACAGAAGTGTCAAATCATGTAATATATTTGGATTATGGACAACTTTCAACAATTATATGAACTATTTACTGGATTCAAGACAGAACTGCGACTTGAATATACAACAAGCAATCATTATGGTTTTTGAATATTTTAAATATTTCCTCAGATTTTTATTATCTTTAAAAATATTTTTCAAAAATCAAATGAGTGTTTTATTAATACAATTTCATTTTGAAGTTTACACAATGGTAAATAGGAATTTTGAGAAGTAGTTTTGGCCGAAAAGCGACATGATAAAAATTTTACTTTGGTTCTTGAATGCATGTTAATACACATGAACAGGATGAAGAAATTTTACTACCGATGTTTGCTCATGTGCATTTAAGCGATTCTCAATGCTGATTGGTCAATTTAATCGACATGACATCGTAGTGCTGTTAAGAGACGTGAACAACACGGTGACTAAGATGGGCCCAAGTTGGCGACGCGAAAGGAAACCGGAAACCAGCCATCAGTGCCTTCCTCTGTTGAGTAAGCTGGTTTTGCGATATGTGAGACGGGGCCCAGCTTACTCTGTAGAGTTGACGCTTTATACCTTTTCCTACATTTTTATCTTAAAATATCATTAATTGATATAAATCATTATAGTATATGTAATCCACTCGAAACTGGGCATTCTAAGATGCTTCGCTAAAAGATCAAAGGTGTTGATAGCACTTACGATGAAGTACACTTTTTGCATTACGTCACACTGAAATGGCGTCACTACGCCATTCTTGTTTGTCTCCGCTCTATCAAACGTACACTTGGTAACCGTACGTCAGTTGTCATTGTCTAGTACGTCAGTTGTCATTGTCTGTTACAGTTTCCTAATGTGCAACCAACTCGGATAGCACCCTACCTCATTGTTAATTTTCCCGTTTGGTTTATAATCAAAGTTGTAATTGAAATAATAAAGAGAAGATGCTTAACTTGAAAGCAAACTTTATTGAAACTTTGTATCATTTGTTTTATTGCTAACGTGCATCTTAACGCAAGGGGACAGACACATCACTAGAACAGCACATCAGTGAGCCTCGAAGGAGGGTTGTTAATTTTGGTCACGGACTACATAAGGCTTTCTTATCTGTTTTGTGCCTTGGATTAGTCGTCGGTAAGTGTTACATTAGGCATCTTAGAAAGGAAATACAGTTCTCTCTGCCCCCATGTATTGTGTATAAAGCGTCCCCGTGCTTTAACTATAGTAGTTAATGGGGGTACCAGTCGATTTGCCCCAGCTACAAAATGCCTCGGATTGCCAGATTGCCCCAGAGGTTAGTCAAAATGCCCCAATTTATAATGATTAAATATATGCCATAAATGCATAGTTTTTGTCAACTTAGATATTATATTTTTCATATAAAACGTATTAGGAAGTAATATTTATGATAAATGTTCAATTAATATAAACGTGAGGTGAGGTAAGGTGAAATTGGGTTTAACGTCGTGCTTGAGAATATTTTGCTCATATGACGACGTGCATGTGTGTGTATGTGTATGAGCGGCTGCTTGTACTAGCCCAGATTTAATTTGATTCTTATATATGCAAACGAATGCGAACTGAAACAAATAATTGTGAAAGTATACGTAGTTTGAAAGTATATGTTTACATGTCGTGATATTCAAGGAACACCTTTGATAGCATATATACTCATTTATTGACCATGAAGGAGGTGGTGAGGTGAAGTGGTTTTACGTCGTGCTTGTGAGAATATTTCGCTCATATGACGACGTGCATGCGTGCGTATGTGTATGTGCGGCTGCTTGTACTAGCCCAGACTGAAGCTGGTTTTATAGTGCTAGCCCACTGAGATACAATGCCGCAGTGAAGCATGGTACATTATAGTGACTCCGAGCCGACCAGTCCTTGTTGTACCCATTAATGCCGAGCGCCAGGCAGGGACCAACAAGTACCATATTTTAACGTCTTTTGGTATGACGCGATCGGGGATCGAACCCGCGACCTTCCGCTCTCATGACGGACGCTCTAACCACTACACCACGGAGGCGGTCCCTTTAATATAAAGTAAACTCATAAGAGCAAAGGGACTATTCCTGTATAGTAAACACTGTAATACCAAATATTGAGCATATTTATTGTTGCTTAGAAATAAATTAAATTTAAGTGAAGAATGATAACACACGGGCAGTGTATGAAATAAGCCAAAACTCCAGCCAGACATCAGGGCTAGTAACTTCAAAATGTTACAAGCCCCAAATGGATTTAACCAGACCAAATATGGTGAATTTACTCAGATGTATGGAACACCTAAAAGTTTTACCAGACCATCGGGCTGGCTAGCTGTAAATTTAGACCGACCGTCAGAAATCTAGACCGTTACGGGCGGTCGGGTGGGCCTTATCTCATACACTGCACACATGATTCCATGTTGATCTACATCAAGTCACATAAGTCTTTCTTAATTAATATCTAAATTTTGAAAGTTTTTCATCACAATATGTACCTTTCTTGAATGTCTTCTTCAAGTATGTCGGAGAGGTTTTGTGTGTCCTCACTGTAGAGGGTATCTTCATTGAGGACGCTGTCGATTGCAGATAAATTGACGTCAAAAGTCCCCGTCCCGACTATCTCTGTCATTATGCTTTCCACACATCCAGGAAATGATCAATGCGACTGCTTTCCCTTGGTGTTTCTTTGCAGATGGTGCATGTAAAGGGTATAAGGGAACCTGTCCTGTCCGTTTCCTCATGTCCAGACTGTCCATGTTTGTGGGGTTGTAGGAAAATCAGTCATGGGAAAAGTAATAGATTTGATAGGAAAATATGTCATAGGGAAAAAAGTCATAAACGCAAAAAAGTCCGTATTGATATTGTATTTATTCAACAAGTCATAACAATATTATCATCAGAAGCACTACATAAATATCTCTGAACTACATTGGAACCTAACTTATATTTATTTAGGTATAATATAACAAGTTTCTAAATAACTAGAGAACAGGACGTTTTATGATTTTCCCGATGATTTTTCTTCCCATGACTTTCTGTCCTATGACTTATATTCTGATCACCGTCTGAGTGTCCAGCCTTCACATTTATCATATGAGATTACCTCTTGGCCTTCACTTACTACCAATAAACATTTCCTGCAGTTGACGGTCACCTTGTCAGTTGGAAGAGGTGAATGACTTATCTTGGTCCAAAATCAATTTAGACAAGTTGAAATGCTCACACATTCACACTGCTCTAGTTGAGACTTGAGACATTTCCTCAACATACCATAGCATTGAATGTTGAGACTTGACATTTCCTCCAACTTATGTGCAGTGTGCGAAATAGCCGCTAGCCCGTGGCTAGTAAAAGTCCACTCGGGCCAGTAAATCTCCATAGTCACTGGCCCGACTGTCTAGTGAATTTTCATGGGCTCATTTATTAAATATACCACTCTCTCCGATTTGTTAAGTTATAATACACTTTTAAATCATGCAATTTATGGCTGGATAAATGATAATATTTTACCTTTGGGTAGTATTTTGCTTAGTGTCTACATTCAAATTTCGGGCTAGTGACTTATTTGTGGACTAGTAGCTTTCCATCCTCGATAATCTCCAGGGTATACGTTACGATGACTCTCCACTATACCCTGGATGCATCCACGGCTTGGCCCGATAATTTTATTACCTCCCTTGGCTGGCTTTTTATCCAATCGGGTGTCTACGCTAGGAAGTTGAGCGAACCAATCACAACTCACTTTCGCTTCTTAAATTATCTAACCGTTTAAACTTGGCAACACAGCAGAGGTAATCTGAAAGAGGTAGAAGGAGTTCTTTTATATATTTTTTCAGATCTGTCAATTTGTCTGTATTATTTCCTCAAAAATCTGAGTGTCACTGCGAACAAACCTTCGCGACGGCGACCGCTATCTTTGTTGACACTGGCAAGCTCGGATGTAACGGCAGCTTAGCTGATTGGCTACTGTGAGTATGCGGAGCCAGCAAAGGGAGGTAATATAATCATCGGGCCAAGCCGTGGATGCATCCAGGGTATAGTGGAGAGTGATCGTAACGTATACCCTGGAGATTATCGAGGAGTGTAGCTTTCAGGCATAGCTTGTCCGACTGGCTAGCAAAATCTGGAAACTATTTCGCACACTGCTTATGTGAATTAGTGAACGTGTTTGTATAGCCAGTTTATATATACTGAACATCATTGAAAACGCACCACTTATAAAAGTTCAGATATATTTTTTTAGTGGATAATAACAGATGGACGACTGGCAAAAACAACAACACAAAAAAGACGCTCATTCATTGAAATGTTCCACAATCAGCAAGGATCAAACACACGTGGGGTCAAATCGAAAAGTCAATATCGCATGTGACCGCCATTTGCATTGACACATGCAGTTCAACGTCTTCTCATTGAGTCAGTAAGTGTTCGAATAGAGTTCTTGAGGATTGCATTCCACTTCTGCAGTAGTGCAGCCTCAAGTTCCCGGATGTTTCGCATCTGTTGTCGCCGCGAAAGACTTTGACCATTTTCGTCCCATAAGTGCTCCATGGGGGGATACATCTGGCGACTGTTCTCAGCAAACAACCTCTTAGAAATATGAAAAATAACCCGCACACAAAACGGAATGGCAGCTTATTAATCTCAAATTTTGAAAGCTCTTCGCTAAGGAACTTTCTAGGACCTATCAAATGACACTCCAAAAATGCAAATTGTCCACTTCCTTGGTTTATTTAAGATCACACTTTTAAACAAACAAAATGTCACATTTCACGGTGTGTGATCAAAGTTGGAAATATACAGTGAATGCAACAAAAAAGAAGACATTTCATTGAGCAAGCCAGTGAGCTTCGAACTCGAAGTATTCATTATGAAGAAATGTAACTTATGGAGGGGGAAAATATGCGAGTTATGTCCCTTGCGCAGTTACTATTTTTGTCATTTTACCCAAGAAGCAGTGATGTCATCAGATAATGCGTAGCAGGCGAAAATGACGACCCCTCAGACTGCGACTGCACGAATTAGTTCAAAGAAACAAACCCTTGAGGATGCTTATTCTCCTCCAGCAAACTTTTTAGAAATCGATGTTTGTACTCCTCAAACCCACGGAATAGGCAAAAAGCGGTATACCGACTATGAAATGCGTTTACGGGTAAGCAATCGAGTCGACTCATTGTCATTGTGATCATGCAATGACGGAAGTATGCAAGCGAGAATTTGCTTGAAGTATAATATGTTATTATCCTTCCTAGTTGGGTTTGATATTGGTGACAGCTTACTTATTCACCGAACAATTGTAAACGTGTTTATTAGTTATTATCAGCCTTTAAAAGTATACCCAAATCTATTTCCATCGATAATAAATGTCCATGTAGTTCTGCTCCACCCCCTTTTTCTTGCCTTCTTGTCTGGCAAGAGATAACTCCACTAGTTATTGTGTCGTTGATACAGGTGCGATGATACAACTACAGGGGGCAGTTTAGACAATGTGTTTATGTTTTACATTTCATTTGTGGAAGGCCATGGTGATTGGTGTTATTTTTCGTTATTTTGCTGTGTTGATGACTGAATCATGATAGACTAAATTCAATATGTGAAATATATCCCAAGCCAAGGTATATGTACCCAAGATATACAAGTGTAATGTTTCAATGGGTGGATAGTTTGTTAGCAATTCAACTTGAGTTACAATTGGTACCCTGAACATATCCTGTCATCTGCTGTGTGTCAAATGCTATCTATCAGCACATCGACAGAATTATCTTTATGTTCATGGTGTTTTCTTATTGGGTGTGCTTTAATCAAAGCTTGACGATTAAAAGATACAATGTAATATTGGGGCAGGGATGGGTTATCTGTTATCAGATAACTTACTGAACTAAATCTATTGATATTCAAGATAGTGTCTGTGTATGGATAGAGTTATATTGGTGATTTCAGTCTCTATCTAATCTATTTCTTGACTTTTTACTAATTCACAATGACAAAAATAAAATTGTTGATATCTTGAAATAGAACAACAATAATGGAAAGACTGTTCCATATTGAACCATGTATAGTAATGGTAGAATGGGTAATGTGTTACAATAGAATAACAACCATTGAGTACAAACACAGTAAACGTGGTAACTTTTAATTCTCAGTAATCATCCAGTGGATTTCCAGTGGATATCCGGATTAGAATTTGTGCTTAAGCAAAACACGCTTGTTATAAGAGGTACCTTACATCATAAGGTGAGCTGACTTGCTGAATTAATCATCTTAACACAGTTGTGTGCATGAATGCTCTTGTCAGTCACTGGATTGTCTAGTCTAGACTCAAGTATTCACAAACTCTATCATGTAGTTCTAAGATTGCTGAGTGCAGGATTAAACAACAAATAAGCGTTAATCATATTAATGGTATTTCATCATCATTATCATCTTTCAATTTTTCTGGGGGTTTATAGTCATGTTCTTAACCGTGTGTCAGAAATCTGTGAATTTTTAGAAAACAAAAATTTGAAATAAATAACAATTTTTAACAAAATAACAAAATATTTTCTCAAGATCTCAAAAGACCTTGTACATCTAGACACCAGAGCCCTATTGGTGTATCTAATATTCTCTGTGATGCTTAATATACTTATTGTCTGTCAGGTATGGTTTGTGATAATTAACACTACATAACAGTTTGGAAATTACTGAAAGACACTGAACTATCACTATGCTATCACTATGCTATCAAACAAGTTAAAGATGATTTATGTCAGTCGTGATACTGATCATGTTGATGCAATAATCTTCATTCATGTGATACACAATTACAACTGACATCTTCGTAGATGACTTCAAACCTTTATGGATAACTTCTTATTTGTGCTTAAGAATGATTCATGGCTATTGCTTGTCCAATCATCAAACTCGTGAAGATCCAGGTTAGAATTGGTCTTCATCAACCCATGCATGTCGTAAGAGGCAACTAATAGGATCGGGTGGTCAGGCTCTCTGACTTGGTTGACACACATCATCATATCCCATTTGCGTAGATCGATGCTTGTGCTGTTGATCACTGGATTGTCTGGTCCAGACTCAAATATTAGAAAGTCGCCATATAGCATGATGCAGCGTTAAACAACAAACCTAATAACCCTTCATCAACAATAAAGTTTTTGTCCTTCAAAATTTCATGTATTCATGTTAGCAGTCTCCTAATGTCAATCTAATACTTGATCAATAAAGATGTTGATGTCCATGTTCAACATCTGTGTTTACTATAAACATGGTAGAAAGTTAAAAACAAGTAGCTGAAATTATCCTAGCGAGCAGTAGGGCTGCGCAATATAACCGGTTTACCAGTATTTACCGGTTCAGACCTGAAAACGATACGTATTGCGATACGCTGATCGAAAACCGGTATTTTGACTTGCATTCGGAAAACTTCGTGACACTCGAAAATTTTCGGAAATGTCCTTGTTTCATTTGTGCCAAATATTATTCACATTTTTATTTTATCATGATTAAAAGTTGTTATTAAAGCTTAATCAAGCATAGTGATTTTGTTGTGTTTTTGCTCTATAAATCAAGAATTAACTTGATTATAAGTAGTTTTTGTTTAAAAATACTTCGTGCAATATATTGCAATACATATCGCAATACATGCTTTCGCATCGCAATATGAAAATTCTCTGCAATACCCACCCCTAGCGAGCAGGGTGAATGTTTTCCTCCCAGTTTGGTGTTACCTAGCCTGACTAGTTGTCATGGTCCTACACCACGTACACATGAATGCCATGACCATCACAGCCATTGAGTTATGTTGTTATGCAAGTTGTCCATAAGCTGGTGGTCATTGCCACAGGGGACAGCTTCAACATGTGAGAGTGAGATATGTTAAAAATGTGCTTAGATGGATTGTTTCATTGTGTGTGTTCGGGCAGTTTTTCAGTTGCATTTTATGATGAGATCTGCTTCTGAGAACATTAATCTAATCATGCATCCTCAAAAGTCAAACACAGCATATTTTCAATGGAAAGGAATAAACAGGTGAAACATTTGACACTTTCTGTATTGCTGGAAGTACTCCTATATAACCTCTCATCTGTTTAACATTCAAGAAATTTGAACTTTTCCTTTATTCAGTTTTCAAAGGGAATTTTGTATATATAAGGGTAGTGGAGGTAGTCTAGTGGTTAAAAAACCTGGTTTGATTCCCCACATGGGTACAATGTGTGAAGCCCATTTCTGGTGTCCCCTGCCGTGATATTGCTGGAATATTGCTAAACTGAACTCACTCACATTTACGAAACATGACCTTACTCAAAGGATTCCTTAAATGAGGATCTAAGTCTGTGCCAAAAACTGTGCATTGACAAGTTCATACTTGGACCTGCCATCATGTTAAGTACATTTTAGAGTTATTACATTGTCAATGTAGCAGAGCTTACTAGACTATCATATATGATGGTCTTATCATGTATAAACAGCAACACTGTAGCAGATCTTATCCACAGACTCCTGAAAAGAATTCTAACTCTGACTTTTGACTTGTTCAGTGAAGTTTTGATAAATATCTTCTTGCTTTTTCAGACAAATCTACCAGTATTTAAGTTAAAAGAATCCAGTGTTCGGCGTCGGTACAGTGATTTTGAGTGGTTGAGAAATGAGCTGGAGCGTGATAGTAAGGTAAGTTCAGGCCTGAAATCATTCTACTATAGTGTGCCGCAAACCACATTGTGTGACCTTGATCAGAAAGATGGAACTGACATAGACACTATGTACCTTACATAGTGTTTGATGGGATTGAATTGTCCTGAATGTTTGTTGTTTAAGGTCTGGGGTCTCTTCCCACAGATTGCTGCAATTTGTGAAGGCCTTGTGTCCTACCTCAGTTTAGCTGGATGAACTATTTTCTCTTACAAGTCCTACCTGACATACCTATTTTCAATGGCGATTCATGACGTCAGGAACCAAAGGGGTCATACATCTGCCAGTCGCCCAAGGTGCCACAGTTTGATGTGCAAAACTGTGTTAGGAGTGGGGTAGCCTAGTGGTTAGACTAACAACTAGTCTCTGAAATGATCATATTTTACAGAAAAAAAAGTCCATGGTAAACAATATAAACTATTATAAAAAGGAGCCCTGAGACTTCTTCATGAAACTGTCGAAATCTAGCCTTGCCACATTTTCCAGACTTTATGGGTTTTCTTGGATATATTTGCTTCAGGGTCTGTATGACCGACCACTGCCATATAACTGGAATATTGCTGAGTGCTGCGTTTAACAACAACCAAACCAAAACCTAGTGGTTAAAGCGTTCGCTCATCACAACAAATACCCAGATTTGATTCCCCACATGAGTACAATATGTGAAGCCCATGTCTGGTGTCCCCTGCCATGATATTGCTGGAATATTGCTAAAAGCGGCATAAACCCATACTCGCTCACTCACTCATGTTAGGAATCTGATTGTCTCTTGGATCCGAGATAATGTCTTTGTCTTTCATCACAATACCCATGCTGGTATGTTTCCTATCAAGCTGACTGGGAAGTACTACATGTATATACCCCTCATCTGTCCTATGGCTGATCCCATGAAGGTCCGGGTTAGAATATTGATCTTCAGTAACCCATGCTTGTCGTAAGAGGCGACTTACGGGATCGGGTGATCAGGCTCACTGACTTGGTTGACACATGTCATCGGTTCTCAAGTGTGCAGATCGATGCTCATGCTGTTGTTCACTGGATTGTCTTGTCCAGATTCGATTATTTACAGACCGCCGCCATATAGCTGGAATATTGCTGAGTGTGGCGTAAAACTGAACTCACTCACTCACTCCTATAACTGAAATACTGTCAGGAGAGCCACATGTCTCAGAAATCTAATCCTGTTGCTGTGTGACACAATGGCAGCATTGCATATCTGTTGTTTAAAATATTTATATCAGTTCCCAGTGAAGGGTATTGACCTTTTGTTGGATTGTATGCAATAATGAGTAATGTATTGCAATATGTACCACAATATGTTACAAGCATTCTTTCATATGTAATTTGATATAAACCTGAATCAATAATAATAAATAATTAGTAATAGTCCATTTATCATGTGCATTGCTCCATGCACAATGCATGCTCAAAGCTCCCAAACAATCTGATTATTATTACCCCGGATAACCCAAGCTGCATGTTAGGCACTAGAGAGTTATAGACACATGACTTAATCCCACTGGGTACCCATTTTCTGCTGGGTGAACAGAGGCAATTTTGAACAAACTCACTTGCCTAAGGTGAGACCACATGTATCACATGTGCTTCGTTGTGGGGCAGGACTGAAGTCCTAGAAACTTCTACGAGTCAAGGTGCCGACCAAGGTCACCCAACCAAGGACTCTCAGCACCCAACGTTGCTTAACTTCACCCATCTTGTGACAGGAGCTCTATGCACAGGACCACATGCTACTACTTCTACCATTTGTAAAACATTCCAATGGTCACAAAGTGTGTGTAATAGACACAAATACAGGAAGCTGGAGCCAAAGTTTCAATTTTTAATCAGGGGCAGTGGACTAGCTTAGTGGTTAAAGTGTTCACTCATCTCGCTGAAGACCCAGGTTCGATTCCCTACATGGGTACAATGTGTGAAGCCCATTTCTGAGGTTACCCACCATGATATTGCTGAAACATTGCTGAAAGCAGCATAAAACGAAACTCACTCACTTTGTAGATCAAGGAATCAAGTTAATAATTTCTGAATTTTTCAATTCCTTTCAACTTGTCACATGTGTAACCTATATGCCTAGTTTTGTGAAATGAAGCCTATGTTTGCAAATTTTATTTTGATACATACTCGTTAGCATTTCCCATCATGGTATATCAGTACTAGGGGTATACCACAATATTAGTAGAACCGCGGTATTTTGTCTTCGGTTCGGTATATCGTAATGCAATAAAAAAGTTCGGTGTTTTCGTACTATCATGTTATTAATTTTTTAAACCTATTCTAAAATGTCTAGAAATCGAATCATTTTGTCAGAATCTATGCATTTCTTTGCTCGACGACCGCTATTTTCCTGGAAGTAAGTTATCATATACCGAACTGAACCGAAGGCCTTGTACCGCAATACAACCGTGCCGTGGTAATCAGTACTATGAATAAGCGAAGCATGTTATGATGTTTTTGATACAAGCCATATAAATTGATGCAGTATATTTACTGATGAATATTTATTCAGACAGTATTTACATGTTGCTGGTACTCTGTTGTTTAAGATCTGTAAGAATTGAATAAACCTGAAATAACTTTCATGAATTTGGAACTTACTCCTTTTTGGTGTAACTGGCATAAGTACACACCAGCTAATCACCATCAAGTACTATTTCTGTCCAGCACTGGACACCCAAATTTAGAAAATGAAGTCCAACATCTCTGGCGAGTCAGGGGCGGTGGGATAGCCTAGTGGTTAAAGCGTTCGCTCGTCAAGCCGAAAACCCGGGTTTGATTCCCCACATGGGTACAATGTGTGAAGCCCATTTCTGGTGTCCCCGCCATGACATTGTTGGAATATTGCTAAAAGCGGCATAGAAACAAACTCACTTTGGCGAGTCATCCTGACATACATTTTAAAATCTGGGTGATGTTACCTGTGTTTTTGTACTCTTTGTAGATTGTGGTTCCTCCTCTACCAGGCAAGGCTCTAAAGAGGCAGCTACCTTTCCTCGGGGATGATGGCATATTTGAGGAGGACTTCATTGAAGAAAGACGGAAAGGACTTGAGATATTTGTCAACAAGTAATGGACTTTAAATTGTTTTGTGCAACTCATGTCTTACATTCACAGGGCGGTGGGGTAGCCTGGTAGTTAAAGCACCTGCTCATCACGCCAAAGACCCGTGTTCAATTCCCCAAATGGGTACAATATGTGAAGCCCATTTCTGTTGTCCCCTTCGGTGATATTGTTGGAATATTGCTAAAAGAGGTGTAAAACCATATTCCCTCACTCTTACATTCACTACAGACAATGATCATTTCAAACGTTTGTCTGGTTTGTGAAGTGATGCTAAGAATGCACACTCATGTGATTCAAAACCCACCTCTGTGTTCCGAAGGGGTTGGCAGGTTTATCTCTGCTCTGACTCCCCATGTGAACCAGATGAACCAGATAGTCAAGCATGGTGAGTTGGCAGATGGCATGTCAAGGTACCCCAAAGGTAAAGAACTTTGCTCACAATATCAATCACTGGTTCAGTCTGGCCCAGACTCCACATTCAGGCCGCCCTCATATAGCTGTCATTTTATGTAACAAATACATATATTTATATTATGAAATATTTCAGAAATAATAGAGATTATGTTTTCATTGGTCTGCCAATGGATGGGATAGTCATATGGTTGAAGATGGTATATGAGTGGAATAGTAATATAAAACCAGCGTAGCTCTTGATTGGTTTAGGAGCAGTGGGGTAGTCTTGTGGTTAAGTGTTTGCTCGTCATGCAGAAGATCCGGGTTCGATTCTCCACATGGGTACAAAATGTGATACCCATTCCTGGTGTTCCCCCCTCCTCTCTGATATTGCTTTGCTTTACTATTGCTGAAAGTGACATAAAACTAAACTCACTCACTTGATTGGTACAAGAAGACAGATGCACCTGTATCTTATAGACATGTGCACAGTGTATGAAATAGGCCAAAAGCCCAGCCCGACATTAGGGCTGGTAACTTCAAAATGTTACCTGCCCAAAATGGATTTAACCAGAGCAGAAAATCCAAAAAAACAAACTCAATGGTTAGTTATTGTTTAGGTGCTGTTTTAGTGATAATATATGTCAATGCGGTGCTTTGAGATAGTTCAATGTTCAAACAGTAATTGTCAAGTCTAAATGCAATTCTCAATTTGAAAAATAGATTTTAAGATATGGTGAATTTACTCTGTTGTATGGAACATGTTATCTTACATTTTTACCAGACCATTGAGCTGGCTAGCTGTAAATTTAGACCACCCGTCAGAAATCTAGCCTGTCACGGTGCTTGGATGGGCCTAATTTCATACACTGATGTGCAGTACACTTGAATGCAATGTTTACCTCATCACCTCATTATACTCATCTGTGACTTTTCTGTTACCATTGCAGAGTGGCCGGGCACCCGCTAGCTCAGAATGAGAAGTGCCTACACATGTTTCTTCAAGAGCCAGTCATAGATAAAAACTATATCCCAGGCAAGATCCGACCAACATAGAGTCTGATGGCTCCTGCATATTTGGTGTGTCACATCCATCAGACTTTGCACGACTTAACAGTATGCGTCAGAAGCGAAGACAACATCAGGATTGTTGAGGGCGCGTGTTTCTGATTTACAAATGTCAAGACCAAATCATTACGGAATAGTTCATCTTTCCTATCATTTGCTTGGTCAAAAAAAAAATAGCTTTCAATATTTGTCAACATGGATTTGATGGAAATGTACTCCAGTTAGTGATGTGTCTTGGCATTATTGTTTTTAATAAAATTAATGGAGAGTAATGCGGTTGTATGACTTGAAAGTCTATGAAATGAAAGGTGTGACTGATTTGAATATTTTTGTACATCAAAGGTATGCCTCCCCTTTAAGAAATCTTGTTAAGTACTTCATAGCAGAGATGAATGTGAACTTTGTTAATCACACTGACAAACACGATTTATTTATTAAGAAATGGCAAGTCATTATTGTTTTTGTGTTGGTTATCAATGGTTATGATAGAAAATGTAAACATATTTCCTTTGGCTGTACCGCAGGTGAAACAACACAAGTAAGGCTCTGTCAAAACGGGTTTCTGGATAGCTATTTTTTTTTAATCTGAACTGTGGATTAAGATTGTAAAAATGAGGACTTTATATAATTTCTCTAGTATTGTTTTGGACATCAAATCCAGATTAAGTGCTCAAACGGGATGAAATTGTTGTATGTAGTATGTTCATGGTACTCAGAATTTCATGAATTAAAGGTCATTTCACTGTCAGAAGTTGTAAGTAAACACCATTTTATTGCAATATACAGACTTCCTGTTAAACATTCAACATTTCATTGGTGGTGTTTATTGTCTTTATACCATTCATATGGAGTAGGTGTAGTTTTTGTTTTGCCTTCTATTTCATGACATTGTTAGAAAATATAAACTTACAAGTTAAACAATTGGTTGTGACAAGAATGTCCAAAGAGACACCAGTCTAACATGCATTATAGATTCTTTAGAAGGGAAAATCTTATCGTAAAAAATTAAGAATTCAAAACATATTTTGCAAACCTGTGAGGTTGTTATGCATGTATATGTTATAAAGGGAGGTCGGGTGGCCTAGTGGTTAAGGTGCTCAATTGTCACACCAAACAGTGGGGTTTGAGTCCCCACATGGGTACAATGTGTGAAGCCTATTTCTGGTGTCCCCACCGTGATATTGATGGAATATTGCTATTAGTGGCGTCAAACTAAAAGTAATCATGTTTTAAAAGAATATTACCAATTTCATATAAAGAAATCATTTGATTTTTTTTATGGATTGAAATATATTAACTATGGATATGTTAATGTAGTGTAGACTCAATTCTAATGTGAGAATTTATAGTTGTACTAAAATCCCAGCTTTATTGTATTATACCTTTCTCTGCAGCTTTATTAACTTTGTACATATGACGGAAAGCCATGAGAGAGGTTACTTATCTGTACAAACTGAGATACTAGAATCAGTTTGAGATGTGAACTGAGAGTCAGAATTATTGAAATAATCTTTGAAGGTTGAAAATTTAGTAGCACAGCTTTCTTCATATTTGTTGTCACTGGTTAATCAGAAAGTCTCATCAGATGAGTGTCTGTAATCTCTGATTTCATTAATCACATCAGTACAAGCCTTTAATGTATTTTTGTTTTGAATTTAGAAGCAGCCATCAAAGTTAATTAAGCTAGTTTCTGTATGTATATTGGAACAAAATGAAAGCTGCATACACTTTGGAACTGTTTTTGTAACCTTTTTCTTAGCGTAGATAACTGAAGCTGAAATTTGTCAATGGTTTGATATCATGTCAGAACATAAAATAATCATGTTGGTGGGTGTAAAGAAGTACCAACATTGTTGAAGTGCCACCTTAGACTGAACTTAAGCAAGCATTTGGTGATATGTATTACTTAAAATTAAACACATTATCGTCTCAGGGGACAACCCTGTATGAGATTACCATATGTATACTATGCTAAAACCATTTTCCTTCTGTTCGGAATGGGGGCGGTGGGGTAGCCTAGTGGTTAAAGCCTTTGCTCGTCACGCCAAAGACCCGGGTTCGATTCCCCACATGGGTAGAACATGTGAAGCCCATTTCTAGTGTCCCCGCACCATGATATTGCTGGAATATTGCTAAGAGCGGCGTAAAACCAAACTCACTCACTCACTGTTGTGAATGCTTTCCAGGATTTCTCCCAGAGGGTATTAATGACCTATGTTACTCAACTTTCATATAAAAGAAGATATACTTGATATACACCCGATTGGCTTAGTTACCAGTAATCAAAAGGTTAACCATTTGGGCGAGTTTGAGATTGCACTCCTTTCATATGTATTGGACAAATGTAGATATATGTGTAATGTATGCTGGTAACCATGGATACCAACCCAGTTAACATCTTGATGGTGATTGGTTGATGTACATAACTTTGATAGGCTACCAGCAACTTTATGTAATTGTAAACTGTATATGTATTCATTGTTTTACCCTAACATGGCTTTGTCTCATCACTATCAAATTTCATTTGATTATTTAATAAGATGTCAAAATAGACATGATGTAAGAAATTTAACAGAAGGAATTTGCCATATCTTTTGAAGGGGCATGTGATACTTCTTTAAAAATCTGAAGATGTTAAAAGCTTCTTTTTAAAAAATTATGAAATTTATTTTTGGTTTTATCAAATTCAAACTAATTGTATTTTTCAGCTTGATATTGGTATTAGAGACACCATTTATATTAAGTGTTGATTTTTTAAACTGGTGAGGTAAAGCCATGTGATGCTTTGTAGAAACAGCAGCTGTTTTCTATTCAGTACCGCAGTAAACTGTCAGATAATTAAGTCTGGTTATATTTTATTTTCAGTGTTTTCATTAAATTTTAATTGTTTCTTATAGCAGAAGAAATTCCTTTGGAACTGATCAACATAGAATTTAAGTACCGGTTTGTAAATGTGTGTATTTTTGCATTTCAGCATGTTCATATTTGTTGGCAAAAATCCTCCACAGTACAAAGGAGCTGTATTAGCACAAGTAACACTCCTGTCATGTCTTAAATGTGCTGAATAAATCATACCATGTACACCTGAGTTCTGTGCTGTGATTCAGCTGGATGTTAACAAAGGACAAGTTTAGAAGGTGATGTCTGGAAAATAGATAACTGGTATCTGGATGGTGGAGTAGCCTAGTTTTTAAAACCGTGAAGATCCGGGTTAAGATTGGTCTTCAGCAGCTCATGCTTGTCATATGAGGCGACTAACAGGATCGGGTGGTTAGGCTTGCTGACTTGGTTGACACATGTCATTGTATCCCATTTGCGTAGATCGATGCTCATGCTGTTGATCACTGGATTGTCTAGTCCAGACTGGATTATACAGACCACTGCCATATGGCTGGAATATTGCTGAGTCCGGCGTTAAACAACAACCAAACCAAAACCTAGTGGTTAAAGCGTTCACTCATCACGCCAAAGTACCAGTTTCGATTCCCCACAGGGTACAATGTGTGAAGCCCATTTCTGGTGTCCCTCGCCATGATATTACTGGAATATTGCTAAAAGCATTGTTGCACTAAACTAACTCGCTAGCGGTAACTGTTATGAGACTTTCACCCATTCTAAGAGTTAGTTGCAAAAACATTTACATTGTCACAGATTCCTTCAGAATGAAAAATACCCAAATCATAGTTCAAGGGTATAATTGCTTTCAATAAACCTTCCAGAAGTTGTGTCTTATAACCGACACCAATGATGGTTAATGATAAATGTGATAAGTGTTTCTTGGATTTCAACTCATTTTACCAAGATTAGAGATGCAAATTATAAATAGAACATTATAATGAATATCATCATTTAAACTCTTTAAACTGTAAAAAATCCCAAATACTGACAGACCTGTTAAAACCCAAGCCTTATACTATAGGAATTATAAATTCAATCAACCATTAAATCTTTGAATGCTCCTTTAGTTTTCAAAATTAATGAGTTACCGTATACTCTTCTCACACGATCCTTGGTCTTAACAGATGAATACTGCTTTCATATAGGACTATTCCGATTCTTATCATTGTGAATGTGACCCAACTGTTATCTTCTATTATATTTTTTGTCAGACATTAGTTGTGATTGATCATCAGCATGTAGGGGTAATAGTGGTCTGCAGTTTGCAGAACTGCTTTCCTTCTGACTGCCAGAATCTGCAAATCATTGTTTGAATCCAGACTGTTGATTATGATCCTTCGATTGTCAGCATTGTACCCATATTTATGGGTTAAACTAATTCCTAACAAATTCCACACCCACTACCTCACTACTAGGCTTAATTAATGGAATCAGGTTGTCAGATTCAAGTAGGTTACCTACAGATCATGTAGCTGGAAATGTCTGAGTGTGGTGTTAAACAACAAACAAATCACTCATCAGCATAGAAGATTTATTAACAAGTGACCAGATAAATGAAAAACAAGGGTCACAACTGAATATGTTGATTTTTGTTGAACTGAACTAATCAACGATGATATTACTTAACAGGTTAATCATTACAGAATTGTAGCACCGTACTTAACAGATGGTGGACTCTCAGTATGGAGTAAAAAACTAGGCCCCACACCTCAAAGAGATCTTAGCCCTATGATTGTTCTGAGTCAGTATTAGGTATGGGAGTTAAGATTGTCTTTAAGCTAAGGTTGCTTTGTGAAACAGGGCCATTTAACATTTGAAATTGCAAAGACAATCTAGCAACTGTTTAATCATAGTGTCCATAACACTATTAAACAAATCTATGGTTTGGCATGTACAACATGCATTATCCTTCTAAAATGTTGATGATTAGACATAGTTTATTCACTTCATGCTTTTCTAAAATTTCACATAAGGTATCAATAGTGATACTACAACAAGGAACATCAGTGTATCACAGTCTGCCATTCAGAGAAATGAAACAACAATTTGATAATTTGGATGTACATAGAAAACATCAAACTGACTTAAAAATGGGTACCAGAAATTAAACCATTATACAAATCATGAACAGAAAATTATAACAGTAATCACCCTCAAGATCTGAAATGAAATAAATAGAAATACAGTGACACTAATCAGGTAATATTGCAGGTAATATCACAGACAACAGCTTGAATGATATAATAACATAGTACTATGTACTAACATAATGTACTACTCGAAACAGGTGAAACATCTACATTTGGAAGGCTCTGTGTACCAATAGTCCCAACAGATTATCTATATTAAAAATTAGTTGTTTGTTAACTTATTTTGGGTAGTGTACATCAAGATTTCATCCCGTGGACACTTGTTTTCTGAACATGATGAAAAGAGGTTGAACATTATTGATGTTGAGGAAGATGCTGAGGTATTGTTCCTGTGTAGTCTTATTGAGTGTCTTCCTCCTCTTTTGCTTCCTGTGTCTGTTTCTCTTGTTCCGCAACCAATGCCTTCCAGCTGGTGTTGTTGGAGCTGGGGATACAAAGAGACGTGAATTGATTGTACGATTTTGTTGCTGCTCAACAAGCATTTCATTAACTCATCACTTTTCTATTTTATTGGGGGTCACATCTACAACCTGCATCACACAGGTCTTCATAGGGCAGAGGGCCTAGTTGTCAAAGGTGCAGCAATTTGCTGCACGGAATTGCGTCTATCGAACATGTCAGAAACTTCCGATTGTTCGGAACCCAATTCGGTCTGAGTATGTTTCTCGGTGTCTGCATCTTACCTATGATTGTGGGTTTTACCAAAAGGCAAGACATTGGATACTTCTGACATCAAGCAGACGAGTGATAAACACTGGATACTGTACAAACTCTTTCACTCACTCATACCGGGATTTCCTCTTACAATAAGTTCTCAAGCTGTGATATAAGTGGTGTTCAACTCTTTATTTACAGTGTTCAACCCAAACACATGATGATAAAACTTAAAAAGAAAAAAACTTTACCACCGCCACAAATTATACATGTTAAGCACAGTTTGCTATAAATAGGTTTTGATAATGCCAACATTTTTATGAAGAAGCATTGAAGTGTAATGATATAATTTGACCCTTCTTCAAAGTCTTTTAGTTTGTTGCACATGATCAATGCAAGTTCTCCAAAGAAAGTTCACTGACTTGGTGCCATCCAACAGAGGCCGTGTTCCGGGGAGAATCTGGCTGAGTGTGTTGTACAGAGGTAAACAGATGAACCCGATGAAGCCAACCTACACAACGAACATAGATACGGGGTAATCAGTCATATCATCATCATCATCATAGCAGCAGGTTATGAGACTTGGGTGCTTAATGTGAAAACTTCATGTTTTGTGAACTGGTCATGGTTGCCATGAATGCACTAACACAGTGAGGGGTCATGGTTGCCATGAATGCACTAACACAGTGAGGGGTCATGGTTGCCATGAATGCACTAACACAGTGAGGGGTCATGGTTGCCATGAATGCACTAACACAGTGAGGGGTCATGGTCAAAATCTGTCTGCAATGCACACTGGGGATTAGGACCCACATGTAGAAAGAGTGATTTTAGTGCTAAGACTTCAATATGCCATTACTCTACCAAACTGACTTCAGTGTTTGATTATGGTCATCACATTGTTGTTTGATGATGCTTGGTTAGTGTAACTGTCGCTCCATCAGCACTGTACAATGTGAACACACCAGGGCCTAGATTTTCGAAGCTCTCTTAGCGCTAAGATAGTCGTAAGTGCCATACATCAACATTAACTTATGACTATCTTACCGCTAAGAGAGCTTCGAAAATCTAGGCCCTGTTCAAGTTCCACATATGAATTTGTGTCATATATTCATTTCATAAACTGACATATAGTTACATGTGATTACTAAGTTGAACTTTTGGGGTAACAATAATTAGCCAACTACTCAACAGCCATGGGAAATCAGGGAACACAACTATATACAAAACCTGCACATAGAATTCCTCATAGATATACTCGACGGTCTGCTGCTGTGTCTCCCAAGGTTTCGAAGCTCTCTTAGCTCTAAGATAGTCGTAAGTGCCATACATTAACATTAACTTATGACTATCTTACCGCTAAGAGAGCTTCGAAAATCTAGGCCCTGTTCAATTTCCACATATGAATTTGTGTCATATATTCATTTCATAAACTGAACTGGATTAATCTAAGAATCTAAGTTGAAAAAAGAAGAAGAAACAGATTACCTGGTTACTGTTCATTCTTTAACATATTTCATTAACTACAACACCAAATTTACACTTCAATATTGAGGCATTTTAAGAGGGAAATTACTCACAATATTACTGTCTGCATAAATGTAAGCTGAATATAAGTCAAGTTGATAAAATATATTAAATTAATCCCATATATACTTCTATGAGATAATGTCCAAGTTTATGAGCAAATGTAAACATTTTCCTTCTTTTCTCAATGTTCATGTTCCAGGACATAACACATACCTTATAGAGCTATGGTGTGACATAACCTTCAAATATAACTGTGTCCCAGGTTAATGAACATTGTGGTACTACTCTTCTTCTTTTTCTCTGCTATAACATGCTAACTAATTTCTCTGATTTAGACATGCACAATGAACACTTTACCAGCAGACAGCATTAGGCCTAATACCAATGAAGATCAGGGTTAGAACTAGGCGACTAACGGGATCGGGTGGTCAGGCTCGCTGTTGATCACTGGATTGTCTGGTCCAGATTTAATTATTACAGCCTGCTGTCCTATAGCTTGAATATTGCTGAGTGTGGTGTTAAACAACAACCAACACCAAACCTTAAGCCGAAACACTTATCATTCCACAGCCCACCTGGTTGACAAAGGTAATATGATGGCAAGAAGTGCAGGTAAGCAGTGTGTCTACCTGTTGCTTTGGTATTTCATCCTTGAGATTTCTGTCCATCATAGGAATAGGCTGGAAGCCACATTTCTTTTCTTCATCTCCCTGCAACACATATATAACCTACATACTGCAGAGATATACATAATGAACAGAGGTTTGACATTCAAAATGAAAAATATTAAACATATATTTACATTTTTGAAATTGATGCTGTTATTAAGCAAGATTGTTATATTCTTGAAGAAATCATTGACTGTCCATTAAGGTATAAGACTTCAGCGATGTACTTCCAGACTAAATAATTAAATGACTCATGACAAAATTGTTGAACAATATGATCACTCATAATGGTGAATTATTTACTTTTAAGAATTATGACTGTGTTCCAGATTATCGTATGTGAGGAATTGATGCACAGAAATTAAGAAAATTCAAATTCTGACGAACAAATGCTGATTTCCAAATGAAATTCAAGAAAAATTTCAAGAAAACCTGAGAACACTTCATGTTCATCACCTATTATCTGAACCCCAGATAAGTGTTCTCACATATTTATATAGTTACATGTGATTACTAAGTTGAACTTTTGGGGTAACAATAATTAGCCAACTACTCAACAGCCATGGGAAATCAGGGAACACAACTATATACAAAACCTGCACATAGAATTCCTCATAGATACACTCGACGGTCTGCTGCTGTGTCTCCCAAGGTTTGGAGACGGCACAAGTCCGCCGCCGTCATCATCAGGGATTTACATTGGTCTCTGAATGTGAAATTATCTGGTCTCTTAATCACATTCATTGTTTTGGGCATGGAGAAGTGTATTTGAGGCTAAATAAAACATGAAAAGCCTTCAACAAAATGTATCTGTAACACGGAACTTTGTGATTCAATCGTCTACTGTACACGATGTGCTTTCTTGATGTGAGTTAGCTAAAGTTATTTAATGCGGCAGCCAGCTTTATAGGGCTGTAACAATGCATCAAACTATCGATGGATTGCACTTGTTGAGTCTCCGATAGCAAATACAGGAAGTACCAGATTCATTCACTTTGGTTTAGAGTTATCCACCCATATTACCTCTTAAACAAACTTGACCTGGGTTTCAAGTTTCTTGTCAGTTATTAAAGAGACTGAAACTACTTCAGCTTGTCTTCATTTCATATAAACTTCAAATGAGACAATTCAAGGAGAAAAAAACTATTGCAATAGTTGGTTGCAATATACTATCACTATCGATATAGTATGTTGCAATAGACTATTGCTATCGCAATAGTTGTTTCTCCCTCAATAGTCACTCCTGCAGCTTTAGTATTGCAGCTTGTAGATAATTAGGAAGGAATGACTTCAAAATGGGTATGTGACATCGAAAGTGATGTAAGACTTCAAAAAGCAAAGAAAACTTTGAAAAGGGTACATGACATTGACTGGGGTACATGACATGTAGGGATACATGACTTTGTAAAGGATACTTCTAAAGGAGTACATGACTTTGTAAAGGGCACTTCTAAAGGAGTACTTGACTTGTAAAGGGTACTTCTAAAGGAGTACATGAATTTGTAAAGGGTACTTCTAAAGGAGTACATGACTTTGTAAAGGGTACTTCTAAAGGAGTACATGACTTTGTAAAGGGTACTTCTAAAGGAGTACTTGACTTGTAAAGGGTACTTCTAAAGGAGTACATGACTTTGTAAAGGGTACTTCTAAAGGAGTACTTGACTTGTAAAGGAGTATGTAACTTCTAATGGGGTACATGAATCAATCATGTTACCTCATCTTGGTGTTGTTGATGTCAAACTTATTCTCCTTGATGAGTGCTGCAAGAGTTTTCTGGTTCAGAAAGTAGAGGGCAAGGTCGGTAGCAATGATGGCCTGGCGAATCATTTCCAGCATCTCCTTAAACTCATCAGCTGTCATGAAGGAGAAGATGTCGTGCCCTACACTCTAAGAAACACACAAGAGTTGAAGAATAAAGGTCACAATTTGACAATGAAGAAATATCTTCATGTATTACTTATTGATTACCCTAATTTTTTTCAACTTCTCTCTCTCGTGTAATCCACCAGGGTATTAAGAAAATGCAAATTAAGTTAATTTCAAGTAGGTGTTGTCCAAACCTGTAGGATCATGACTGTCTGCTTGTAGTGATGCTGCTCCATGACGGAGGTGGTGTATAGGGCAGCCATGGGCAGCTGCAGCTTGGTGAAGAATGCATTGCTGTAACCACGGTGATCCACATCATGACACACACCTGCTATCACCAGACCCATTTGCTGCAAGGGCAATGAAAGCAGGAGACCTCAAGCTTTTACACTAATGTCATATACCAGACATGGAGTTTAGGTCTATCAATCATGATTCCAGAAATATTACAGGCTCAGTATTCAGCAGTCCCAGTCCGCAGTTGCAGAATAAATCATGGAAATTGTCTTTTAATGCAGGAAAACGTCTGACCCGCGGAAAATGTATTTTCATGCAGAATACCTACAGAATTTGCCATTTTTCTGTGGCGGAATTTAGTTACTTTGAAAGTTGAATCAAGATTGACTATCAAAGAAATTATATTTTGTGGAGTTTGTATTTATGTCATTCCTGATCACACCCGTAAGAGTACTGTTTCAGATTATCTTTCTAAATCTAAAAAACATCTTGCAAGAAAAAACAAACAAACGTACGGAAGCGTCCTAGTGCCACAGTCTGAATTTTTTATCTCCTAATTAGGAGATAGTATGTCCTAATTAGCACTTACTATCTCCTAATTAGGAGATAGCTAAGTCCTAATTAGGAGATAGTATCTCCTAATTAGGAGATACTAAGTCCTAATTAGGTGATAAAAAAAAATCAGACTGTGGCACTAGGGGCGCCTTCATTAAAAAACGTCTGTATTTCAAATGTCATGAAGCTCTAAAATAGTCACAAATTTGTGTTTCTAAAGAATTAAAGTTTGAAGTCTTTATCATATTTTTAAAAAAAAATTCAAGTACTTAACTGCAGAATTTTGAAAAATGGGATGCAGAATTTACTTAAATTTGCTGCGGAATTCTTAAAAATTTGCCACAGAATCCTGGAGGGACTGATTCAGTAATCACACATGTAGGAGTAGGGTAGCCTAGTGATGACTGATGAGGGGATCTGGGTTTGATTCCCAACAAGGGATTATCAGGCCACATCTGATGTTGACTTGTTGGAACATTGCTACACACAACCATTTAAACCAAAAAAAACCCCAATAAAATGTTTCAAAACAACTTCCTGTGGAGTAATCTCTGTAGTGGTACCTCTTTGATGGAGAAGATGCCTGGGTTGGTTTTGACCATACAGTACAGGGCCTGGGCTACCTCGAAGCCATGCTTCCAGTTGTGGTAGAGAACTGGACGGTAATTCTTGCGAACAGTCAGAATAAACCGACACAGCTTCTCCTGATCAAACCTGAAAACAGACAACAAGTGATTTTGTACTAACAAAGCAATTTTTCTGACAAAATGTTTCAAAATCCAAGCCTTGTAACCAAGGAAATACTGTTTCCTGATTGCCTGATCCTGGAATGGACAGAAGTTGTTATTCATTATTGTCTTCAATGATGGCTCAGTTGATTATAGTCTTTTTGCAGTGAAAACGTACCGATGAATTTCACTTTAAACAAAAAAGTAAATCAAATAAAGTGAAATTAAGACTGCGAATCCTCATAATTTTACCTTGCCAATTGAACATTTAAATCTCAAAATTTTATTCAAATTAGGATAAAAGTTCTTTAACAAACGATCATAGATTCAAATTGCTATTACTGGTTTGTATTACAATGGGGTAAGCGCAGTAGTTGGAACAGTGACACAAATGCATGTGCGGTACGTGAAGAGTGTTAACTTATAACAGCCCTTGTCATTTTCTCTGTTTCATTTGATGTGCATACCCCCTTGTAATACAAACCAATAATAGCCATGCGAAACTATGATCGTTTGTTAAACAACTTTTATCCTAAGTCGAATAAAATTCTGAGACTTAAATGTTCAATTGGCAAGGTAAATTCATGAGGATTCGCAGTCTTAATTTCACTTTATTTGTTTTACTTTTTGGTTTAAAGTGACATTCATCGGTACGTTTTCACTGCAAACAGATTATAGTTATAACCATCAAAAACAGTGTGCCCACAAATGCACCATCATGTATCTATACAGTTTAAACCAGTTTAAAATTTTATACCTCTATAAATGCCAAAAATATTGAAAAGACAAACATTAAAACGTGTGACAACATTGTTTTCTGACATTCCTGTTTGCATGGTACCCAAGATGCATAGACACTGATTACAGTAAGCCATGGTATTGTGTAACACACACAATTCTTTACACAAAAGAATGTTAAAGAGCATCTTTCAGCTAAACAAGCATTGTGTGTTGTCTGCATTGTGAAACACTCATGTATGAGTATAATGCTCCCAACATTCATGCTTTTCTGGCAGCACGGTTATTGTTATAACAATTTCACTTGTGAATAATTTATTTAGACCTCATTTTGACCTCACAGCACAAAACACTAATATTGCTTCAAGAAAAACTTCTCTTGGAAGTGCAGTCTGAAAAATATGCATACAGGACTTTCACATAATTTTCATTCACATTGTGATGTCAGTATTCAGTTACTGAATGCAAAAGGGGCGGTGAAGTAACGGTTAAAGCATCCGCTTGTCACGCTGAAGGCCTGGGTTTGATCCCCCACATGGCTACAATGTGAGAAGCTATTTCTTGTGTCCACCACCGTTATATTGCTGGAATATTGCTAAAAAAGCAGTGTGGAACCATACTCACTCACTCACTCATTTAATGCAGAATGTGTTATGATACTTACATACTTCGTCCAAATAGATCATCAATCATGTGCATAAACAATTTCGGCAACTGTTTCTCAAAATGACCAGCATAAAACTCATATCTGAAATGAAAAAAAGAGAGAAAATATGACAATCATTTTGAAATATTGTAAACACTGCACCTTAAATGTTGTTTTTCATATTAAGATAAAGGTGTTTGAAACTCTTGATGTGAGCAAATGTTTCATGTCAGTTTGTAAATAATTAAGTCTGGTCCAGCGATCAAAGACAATCACTCTGTTTAAACACCCGATCCCAATCTCAGCTCACTCACCCTGATAACTTAAAGAAGACAAAACCGCCTCTGTGGTGTAGTGGTTAGAGCGTCCGCCCGGAGAGCGGAAGGTCGCGGGTTCGATCCCCAACCGCGTCATACCAAAGACATTAAAATATGGTACTTGTTGGTCCCTGCCTGGCGCTCGGCATTAATGGGTACAAGGACTGGTCGGCTCGGAATCAGTATAATGTGTCTGAGTGGGGCATTCATGCTTCACTGCGGCATGGTATCTCAGTGGGCTAGCACTATAAAACCAGCTTAAGTCTGGGCTAGTACAAGCAGCCGCACATACACACACACACGCATGCACATCGTCATATGAGCGAAATATTCTCAAGCACGACGTTAAACCCAATTTCACCTCGGCTAAAGAAGACAAAACACCTTCCAAGGCTCAATGTATTGTCACACCAGGTTTTATCTTTGGAAATAGTTCAGATGACTGCGATGAACAGGCAAGTCAACTTAACCAATAGACTAACGCTTAGTATCTGAATATATATAATTTTGATAGAAATAAACATGTCCTTTTGAACTGAAAAGGAGCCCGAGTGAGAAGGGAGATTCAGAACCTAAACCTGTGGAAATCTAGAATTTCTTTATTTAGGGCTTTAGCATTGGACCGCCTCCGCGGTGTAGTGGTTAGAGCTTCCGCCCAGATAGCGAAAGGTCGTGGGTTCGATCCCCGATCGCGTCATACCAAAAGACATTAAAATATGGTACTTGTTGGTCCCTGCCTGGCGCTTGGCATTAAAGGGTACAACAAGGACTGGTCGGCTCGGAATCAGTATAATGTGTCTGAGTTGGGTATTCATGCTTCACTGTGGCATGGTATCTCGGTGGGCTAGCACTATAAAACCAGCTTCAGTCTGGGCTAGTACAAGCAGCTGCACACACACATACACACGCATGCACGTCGTCATTGAGCGAAATATTCTCAAGTACGACGTTAAAACCAATTTCACCTCACCTCACCTTTAGCATTGATTACACAATGCCATGCTTTAGCATTGCAGAAACAACAGAGCAGATGGGAAAATAATGGGGAACTGTGACTACAGGACCTATGTCAACCTAGCACCTTCCAGTAGGTATGAATATTATCACCAAAGCAACAACTGAAGTTAACACATCTTACTTGCTCAAGACAGGTGGAACCTCATTAGATGTTGGGAAAGGATTGGCAGTCAGCTCGACCACTTCCTCTTCATGAGCCACGAAATGATACTCCAGTACATCCATGGCCACCTTGTACTGGTCCTGCTGCTGCTTTAGCAGGCTGAACAGCTGTGACAAGAAGGGAGGTGTGAAGGCAAGTAACAGCAACATTCCAGCTTTACAATGGCAATATTTATGTATGATATTGTATATACAGTCCAATCCCAATGTCTTGAACTGGGTTGAGACGAATTCTCGGTTGTGTCGAACTCATCCCTTGGTCCCTGCCGGTTTCCTTATATTTATCATTATTTCTATACTGACGGATGTGTCGAACACTCGGATAAGTGGAACTGTCATCTTGGTCCCGACGAGTTCGACACAACAGGGTTTGACAATACATAATGGTAAATAATCTGGACCAGTCAAACCAGTTGACACGAGCAATGATAAGGGAATGATGACATACTGAAACAGGGCCAACTAATATTACAAAGAACTGTCCTCATTATCAGTTTGCATGCATCTGTCTCACCTTAGAATAGTGCAGGGCCAAAGCACAGTACACAGCAAACATTTTGAAGGCCTCCTCGTCTGCAAAAAGCAAAACGAAACCATATCCACTAGTTAAGAAATATCACTCATGGGGCATGAATTATGTGAAATGTTTGTAGTTAGGATCAGTTTTACTTTATGCTGATTGGTTACTTGTACCAACTGTTCCTTTCAGCATGGAAAATATCATCGCCATTATTATTATTGTTACGGTCATTTTGTTGAAAAAAAACAGTGACCAGCTCTCTACCTGCTTTAGTGAAGTGGTCATTGTTGAGACAGTTGACCATCTGTACCACCCCGATTACCCGCCCCTTGCTGACAATGGGCATACACAGGATGTTCTTGGTGGTGTAGCCAGTCTGCTTGTCCACATCCCTGGAACACAGCAAGTCACTTTACTGACCAGCATTTAAAGACTTGCACAAGTCTATAAGGTAATAAGTAATAGCTTAAGGGACCATTCATAATTTATGGTTAGGGGAGAAGCATGTACAATGACCTCCCTGCATGTCAAGTACACAATCAATGACCCCCCTTCCCCTTCCCATATTTTTTAACATAATATGTAAATATTTTTATGTACAGAATTGCTGACCTTCCCTAGAAACGTGTACAAAATTGAGGATCCCTACCCCTACCTCCTCAGAACAAAATGGTGACACCCCTCCCCATAAATTATACATTATGAACAATCCCTAAATCTAAATGATTTCTAAAACATATAAAAAACAGACTGGGGTCCCTTTATCCAGACTTGCCTCTTTAAAGGACAGAATTACTGTACATGCATGGGCTTAGCAAGGCTAAAGCATTTAGTACTGGTGTAATTATTCAGTTTGGCTGAAGTCAAGTTGGTAGATATTCAAGATACATGAGTTATTTGATCAGCAAGAATACAGCTCTATCACAGTGTCCTTCATCAGGGCCAAACACACCAGTTGTTGATATCTTGAGCATTGTCCCACATTATGTGAGTTTGGTGAGATGCAAAAACAGTGATCACCAAATCCATTCTTCCACGCCTTACAAGGAGAGAATATTACCCATGGGTAGAGCGTCATATCAGATATGAGAAGGTTTGTCTTTGATCTGATGATGCAGTAAGATTTTTGTGTTATTCTTAACACCCGTTGATACAGCAAGTTGTAATACTTCTACCTGGAGAGCAAAAACTTAAACCAAGTTAAAACTGGTTGGCCAAAAGGTATTTTGAGAGTCGGAAAACATTCACATAACCATTGACACTTATCTAGTAAATATTCTATGGCCAAGTTTCATTTTCAATGATGAAATATTTTTTACAAAATTAGTACAGGCAATATTTTCAATGAGAAAGCATCAGAATTGGTTGTTGCATTACACCAGAACTTAAACAAATGGTGATGATATACTCAGTGCCCTAATAAAACCAACATTATCTTTCTTCAGCCATGTGCATGCCAAAGGAACTGAATGTGTTGACAATATTCAGGAGCTATTGCATCCAAACCTGTTAAACCTGGGATCTTCATAGGCATCAGGGGATGTTGAGTGCCTCTCCTGTTTTCATGGCATGTCCTGCAATACCCTTGTCACTTGGGAATCTATAAGGCCAATTGAGAATAATCATTCATGTTTACATGAGTGAGTAGGGTGGAAAAATGTGTTTATATTTTCATTTTCTATAGTGGCTGACAAATCTATAAAAGTAAACTTTTACTCTTATGTACCACATGGCATCTTGTGGACAAACCCATGAGAATCTTCAGTATGAAGAGAAAGGCTGAAATTTGGTTCTTTTGAAAATCTAAGACACTATGAATGGTATGGCATCTTCCCAAAACAAATGGTTTCTTAATAGTATCTAACAATAGAAATAAAGGGGCTGACTAGCAGGTGATGGAACTTGGAAGACAAGAAAGTTGTTTTAAATAAGCTTTATGTAGGAATATTTGGCATGAGAAATCCTGACATTAACATGAACTACACATGTGTAGGTTTGTGTACCTTATCTGACATTTCTTGGTGAAGACCGGCTTGCCATCCTCCATTACACCCTCATCAAAGTAATCAGCAAACAGCTCTTTCTTCTCCTCGTCAACAAGAAACAGAGCTGATCGGTCTGCTTGCACCAGATCCTTGGTGTGGTACTTAGAATCACAAGATTTTCATGCGTTATAAACTTCTGGTGATGTCATGCTATAGTATTTAAGGGGCTTCTATATCATGAAAAAACCCTTGAGAAGGAACTGTTTCCAGAATATCCCTGTCCTGAAGCTATTCCAAACAAAGTCCATCTCTCCCTCATATTACTTTAGGAAGTCTCAGAGATATTTTTAAATTGTGCCTCATCATAGTTTGCATTTGAACACATTACCTATCAGTAGTAAGGTGCTACATGATGTAAAATCAAAGAGCAACTGTTTTCTTTATATTGAAGTAAATCAAACTTGTAATCTTCCTGTCAGTAGTTTAGAGAGTGGAAACTAGCCTTCAAAGGAACTGAAGAACCAACATGTTTTCAAGTATGTTTGTAAAGTATAATGCATGTTTAAAAAGCAGGAGCCAAACTCAAGCACAAATCTTTCTTGTATATAAAATAGATATACATTATATAATTTGGTTTGCTTTCTTTTTCAGACTTAAATAATATGTTTTATCATCCCACCACTTTTTAAATACTGCCATGACAAGTCTGTTTGCAATTATTTCCCTCAAGACAAAATATGCAAGTGTTCACAGGAATTATCTCCCCTGATACGCTGTGATAAATTCTTCCCCCAATGCTTTTGTGAAGACTATCACATTAGGTCCCTAATCTGTTTTGTTTGTACTATCACCACCTCAATATTGTCATATACAGCATATGTTCTGATATGCCCATGAAGTATTGCTAGGATGTATAAAACGTTGGTAGAGCTATACATACCATAATATTCTGTACCAGTGTGTCTATGCTGATCATTTCATCAAACAGGACCCTGAAAGTAAAGAATCAATACATTTATCAGACTATAATGTTATTGTTATTATCTTCAATGAAAAATGATAAAAATAATAATATTGATGATATTGGGCTACTAATTAAAACTGTAACTCCACAGAGGGGTATGGTGAAGGCAAATGACACTGTTACTGTTATTAGCCTGGTAAATGTCATTATAGAACAAACTTTATGGATAACAACTTCTTTTTATTCGTGAGTGCGACGTTTCGATACAGATTCTTGTACCGTTGTCTTTATGCTTGACAACGGTACAAGAATCTGTATCAAACGTCCTCTCAATCTAATAAAAGTTTGTTATCCATAAAGTTTGTTCTATATTATACTTCCCAACTTCTAAAATGCCACTCAAAGAAGCTGGTAAATGTCAATGTATATTGTATTCTCAGCCTCTGGAAGCTTACAGATGCATATTGTCATCTCATTCTAACAGTTTCCCTTTTAGCTGAATAACTTACATGTATAAAGTAGGGTTGTGTATTAGCAAATAAATCAGGTTTTACATGACGCATGATTCCTGCGTATTTGACGCAACAATTATGTTAATGACTCTCAAAATACTATCATATGAGTCAAGCTTGACGCAAGTTTTATAGGTGGCCCTCACAATTCAGTTTAATAAAATCGATTTGATAAGCAAACAATATTGTTCGATGATAGTTTGACTTTTACAGAGCTGTCAGATTGTTCCAGAGAACTCAGAGAAGACAGTAATCCTGGCTGTGTGAATTGAACTATGCTGTAGTTTCATTTGGTGGTGTGACATACATAGTTACATACTAAGAATGATTAACACAAAGATATATTACAATTTTCATGACTCCCAAATATTGAAAATGACTCCCAAAAATACATATTGTGAGTCAACATGACTCCCATTTTTAAAAGTCTGTGTAAAACCCTGTAAATTGTATTTCATTATATATTGAGATTCTTAGGTAACCGTATTTAGATGCGTATTGTGATATATTGAGAGCTTCAGTCAGGGCTCCAGATAATTTTTCAACATCAGAGTGCATTACTCCTTATATTTTCAATATAGAAGTACTGGAAAACATAAGAGTACTGAATGGAATTTAATGGAGTATCAGTAATCTTGTGTTTCGTTTTATATATGCACCACAACATTGCTACTCTTGTGTAAACAGGTCAATAAACAATAAAACAATAATTTTTTCAGATAAATCGTCTAAATGATTCTAAGACTGTACACCATTGCTGTGGTGCGTATCCCCTCGTTTTCTAAATTACTTCCTACTGTATTATGCATATTTTTTTATCTGTACATGCATGAATCGGGCCCTTATCTGGAGCCCTGTCAGTGTTTGACAGTGAGTGACATTGATTGTACATGCAAGGCCTATTTTAACTAAAGTTTTACTAAATCTCAAATTTAGAGTTGATTTTGTGGGATTGTATTATCTTTTTTTCTAAAATGTACTGTATGTTAAGTATGCTGTTTTGTCAATTGATTACAATAGAAAATTTCAGTGTGAATAAAAGTTAATGTAACTTAAACTATAGGGATATTCACAAAACTTCATATTTTTTATATTTCCCGATATACCAGATCTGATAAAAAAACATTGCAATATGTATCCTTGAAAACTCATATTTCATTATGTCGGTATTACCGTGCAGTCCTAGTATAAAGACACAGCATATATTCTATAACCTGTGTTTCAGTGTGACCAAGGCCCTTGAAACTCTCAGCAGCCAAGTATATGCTTGGCCCGGTCTCCCATCCACCTACTTCACCAGATTTGTGACCTGCTTGTCAAGCAAGGGACTACAAACTTCCACAGATGACAACAGTTGTTACAGCTTGGCCTTTCTGACGATACTATTGGTTGGTTGTCTGAAATCTTTCACCAAAACTCAATGGATGTGGCTGAAATATTATTCTTTTGACTTTCAATTTTCACATTAACTTGATAATGAATGAAAACATCATTTTTTAAACACCATCAGGTCACAGAGTATAGTAGTTTATGTAGAAGGTTATGTCATCTTTTTACCATAGAGGTGGTGGGGTGGCATGGTGGTTAAAGCAATCGCACACCACGCTTAAGAACTGGGTTCGATTCCCCACATGGGTACATGTGTGAAGCCTATTTCTGGTGTCCCCCGCCGTGATATTGCTGGAATATTGTCAAAGCGGTAAAACTAAACTCACTCACTCTTTACACACACTACAAAATACCCACATCAGCCTGTGTGTTTGGACAGGGTTATCCTAAACAACTGAAGAAAAGTGTTTACGTGTCACAAATAAAGTTTGAAAGCCCACTTGGGTACAATTTGTTAAATGTCTTTTCTCATGCCTTCATTTTGCTGGAATAATGCTAAAAGCCGCATACATGTTTGTCCTCTTATCTCATGCTATTTGTCTGGTGATTTGGTTAACCAATTTGTTTAGGATGAAGGGCCTTAGGTTTTGTCAGTTCTTGATAATTTACAGTTACAATGTAATAATTTGTAAGATCACTTAATGCTTGGTACCTACTTGGTTGTGTCCAGCAGGAAGTCATTCAACTTGGATTGAGTCATCAATACCCTGTTCATCTGAAATAATATCATTTTCATCAGACACACCTTGAAACAACACCAAAATGCGTCACCATACTGTGTTTTAAGATATATACTCATGAAAATATAAAACTGTACACTTGTTGCAGTGTTCTTGAATAGTGTCAGATCCTCAGACAAATCCAGCAGATTTGCTGTCGGTCCGATGGAAGTCTACAACCCGTCGGCCCCAGTGTCCGACTGTATAGTTCCCGATGACTTTGGCTGAAGTTGTTACATGTGACATGTCCCACTTGTTTGCTGTTTATAATTCTTATGTTTGTTAATAATGTCATTGCCAATTACAAGAAATGTTTAATCTGAAATGTGTGTCTATTTTTTCTTCTGTGGGTCCCCGTGAATTTTCAGTGGGTCATACAGACATTTTGAAACATCATTTGTGAACACTGTTGTCGATTAAATCCCACAATGGAAGTAGTGTTATCATTATGATGTACAGCACATTAGTTGAGTATCATACTGCTGTCATCCAGAAGGAAGAAGTTATTAATTTTGTAAAGTATATGTATTCACTATTCGATACACTAAACTGTTTTCCAGGGCTCCAGATAATTTTTCATGATAAGGAGTTACGTACTTCTTATTTGTCAATATAGGAGTACTGGAAAACAATAAGAGTACTGAATGGAATTTAATTGAGTATCAGTAATCTTGTGTTTCGTTTCATATATGCACCACAACATTGCTACTCTTGTGTAAACAGGTCAATAAACTATAAAACAATATTTTTTTTGGAGATAAATACGTCTGTAGGTGATTCTAAGACCGTACACCATTGCTGTGGTGCGTATCTGCTATGTTTTCTAAATTATTTCCTATCGTATCGCGCTTATTTTATATCCGTACATACGCCGATACGGCCCTTAATTGGAGCCCTGGTTTTCAAAGAAAATTCAATTCAAAGGAAAACAAATACTTTTAAAACATCCATTTAGGGTTTGACTATCTTACAGTGCCAGAGCTAGTTACTATAGTCAGAGACCATATAATAGATTATATAGATTCTATTATATCGTCTCTGCTATAGTTATGGCACAGTTAAATAAGTTCATAGTACCCAAAGGGAACACTTGGAATTCTTACTTTTTAGTAAAACATAGGTATTATACGAAGCCAGAGACAAACATACTAAACAATTTGAAATGAAATGTAAACATGCTCAGAGGACAGCATGATTGATAAAATAATCCTGGATTCAGAAACTGAAAAGGATATTACACATATATATCAAGTCAATCAAAGGAAGGAGGAAGCGAGCTCACCATGAAAGGATAGTCACTGACTGATAACCCGAATTGTTCTTGTTGACATACATAAATTCCAAAGGGCGATTCTACACAGTGCTCTGAGTTCACTGTCTTGGTACATTTATTTTTCTACATATAAGTATATTCATACATATTTCTAGATATAATTCTATCTATAGTCCGTTTGGCTCAAAAGCGGACCGATGAATTGCAATCTAACTCAAAAACTAATAAACATATAATACTCAATGAAACGCTGATCATAATCAAAACATCAGACCAACTCTGTGATTTGTTTGCAGAATTTATGTTCTGAAATTAAAAAAGTTGTTTAACAAACTATCATTAAAATTTTGACACAGTTCACCATTTGTTACGAGGGAGGAGTGCAGAGAAAGGGACAGCCAGGTGTTAGAGAAGCATGTGCACAAGTGTCGACAACGTTATTGATTCATTCACTTGTACTGTGCCGTCTTCATCCTTTCTCGCACACCTGGCTGTCCCTTTCTCTGCACTCCTCCCTCGTAACATATAGTGAATTGTGTCGATATTTTAATGATAGTTTGTTAAACAACTTTTTTATATTTAGGACATAAATTCTGCAAAAACCTCACAGAGTTGGTCAGAGGTTTTGATTATGATCAGTGTTTCATTGAGTATTTTATGTTTATTAGTTTTCGAGTTAGATTGCAATTCATCGGTCCGCTTTAGAGCCAAACAGACTATATTGTTAGTTTTGATAAGAATGTTGCATTTTTCATAATGCAATGAAATTCCTTGCAATCATTGTCTAGACCACTGAAGCCTTTTGAACATATTTCATGCAGGCAATGTAGGCAGCTGTGCCTAAATATTCACCATTTGTGAGTGATTGTTTCTGATATTTCGGATCCAGGCTATACATGAGGAACCATACAGTACACTTACCTTACACTGGTGTAGAGACGACACCAACCAGCTTAACATGGCATTAGCCAGCTGCAACACACAGAATCACCACATGACAGATGACAGAACAACCCCTCGTATCTCCTTAGAAATGGTACAGAATGAAACAACTAACCCCATTCAATACTTTCCTGCATCTCTGAGAAAATTAATCCATGATGAAATTCATTTAAGACTCAACATTAACTAACATCTTCAAGACAAACAAGCAATATTCCAGCTATGTGGCAATGGCCTGTAAATAATCAAGTCTGGACCAGACAATCCAGTGATCAACAGAATGAGTATCAATTTACGCAATTGGGATACTGTGACCTGTGTCAACCAAGTCAGCAAGCCTGACCACCCGATCCCATTAGTCGCCTCTTACGACAATCATGAGGTGAGGTGAGGTGAAATTGGGTTTTATGTCGTGCTTGAGAATATTTCGCTCATATGACGAGGTGCATGCGTGTGTATGTGTATGTGCGGCTGCTTGTACTAGCCCAGACTTAAGCTGGTTTTATAGTGCTAGCCCACTGAGATACCATGCCGCAGTGAAGCATGAATACCCCACTCAGACACATTATACTGACTCCGAGCCGACCAGTCCTTGTTGTACCCATTAATGCCGAGCGCCAGGCCGGGACCAACAAGTACCATATTTTAACGTCTTTTGGTATGACCCGGTCGGGGATCGAACCCGCGACCTTCCGTTTTCCGGGCGGACGCTCTAACCACTACACCACGGAGGCGGTACGACAATCATGGGTTACTGAAGATCAATTCTAACCCAGATCTTAATGGGTCAAAACAGAGAGAAGACAAATCCTGCAAGGACTGCTTATGCTTCTATACACAACAAAACACCATCCACCAACCTGAAAATCTTCATCAGTAAACGAATCCTTCATACCCTCTTTGGTCAGCTCAACCACACCTGCACAGAAAACAAACTAAACTGAACTGAGTGGGTGAATGTTCTTTTACGCCACAACCTCCTACAACAATGGAAGGCAGGTGCCAACTGAAAGTGATAACTTGTTGTTCCCGAAAGGGCATTAGGGCACCATGTGCAATCATTTAATCACAATCACCTGACAATATTCGCATCTGGGTGAGTGAAACCAGAAGTAGACAGTATCAGCAATGTCCTGGATCAGGATTGATAACACACTGAAAAATTGTCACACTATCAAATAAACCCCATTTTGCCCTAAAATATCACACTTTGGTTACTGCCTAAAATCCCTTAACTTATTAGTTTTCAGTGTACCTGTCTCAATATCAATCAATATCAATATCAACGCTTTTGAAAATAACTGCACACATCATTTGAAATCCATGCTAGTCTTCTTCAAACTCTGTGGACCAATTAACGAAAGAGAAATGGGAATAGCCTCAGCTAAATATAAAGCCTGTCTGCTTCATTTTATATCCTGATTTCTAACATGCATGATCAAATTTTTTTGTGACAAACTGCATAAAATCATAATTCTTGCCATGTACACAAGTAGAAAAACCAGCACATCTTACCTAAGAGATCATTTGTAGGCATGACTAGGGGCACACTCAGTACACTGTGTACACTTGTCGCTCCACGACCAACACCTTTAGGGAACCTTGTGTCCTGCAATACAAACCATGCAAATATGGCAGCATTCATCAGATACACTTAAAACCAGTGGGTATGAGAGTTAGTATCCCTATATGTACCTCCGACATGCTAGACTAACCAGTATATCTGTCTATATTCTTATGTGTATACTATGTGTATGCAATATTCTAGTCATAGGATAACACAGTTTATCTTACCTCACACATTATTGTCATTTTCTAACTGGCTGAGCCAATCAATGTACCCCACTTACAAGCGAGTAAATTTTCCATGTTACCCGCTGAAAATGCCAAACTGTGGAAATTTGTTTGGTACTTCGTGTTAGTAGTGTTTGGGCTGTTGCCTAACTCCGGTACTCCTTATTATGATCCAATACCCGTGCTTCAAACAGGTCAAAATTAACATTGAGGTGTTCAGTAAGATAAATACGTTGTTCATAGGTCCCTATTTATTCAATATTCTAGCCACAGAATAACACAGTCCCCCAGCCAAAGTTCAATTTACAAGATACACTGAAACTATTTTATCTGTCAGTCATATAACATATCTTTCATATGAATCTTGGCCATAGCATATATCACCAACAATCAATCAGTTCCCGGGGTGGTGGGGTAGCCTCGTGGTTAAAGTGTTCATTTGTCACGCCGAAGGCCCGGGTTCGAATCCCCACATGGGTACAACGTGTGATGCCCATTTCTGGTGTCCCCAACTCTGATGTTGCTGGAATACTGCTAAAAACGGCATAAAACCAAATTAACGCACTTACTCACTCAAATGGTGTGTTTACTGCAGGGATTTATATTAAAGGTTCTATGATTTGTTGTGAGTACAGGCTGTAGGATTCATGGATAGTAATATTTCCAACTTTATTACCCATGAATCACTGAAACTTTACTACCAATAAATTCTCATTGAAATGTATGAACTCCCATGATTTATCTACAAATGCCTATATTCAACCCCAAATCTGCAACTAATATCCTGAATCTAAACAAAAATAAATATACCAACTGTTAATATCCTTAATGTTCAATAGCGTTATCTCTTTGAAGACATTACATATATTTTCTCTGAAAACAGAACTGTTAATAACATATGGTTTAATGTTGAGTTTTACATCATTACATTGACTGCAGCGATAAAACACACTGAGTTTCAGGCAAAAGGATTAAAGAAAAACACAAATAGTGAACAAAAATATAATTTAATTTCCGAGTTTTCCTGGATACCCTAGACAAAACTATGACAATATCAATGACATCCCACCTGAGGTAGGTTTTCAACCAGCTGGGTAGTCTTCTCCATTGCTGCAAAAGCTGCAACAGTCATGCCTTTGCCTATTGGTCCATACGGCTTCCTGTAAATGTCATACATTCGATATGATTAGTCAGTGAGTGAAGGCTGTTTAATGTACAGTCAACAATAACGGGGAATTACATCTATATTATTGTGACCAATAAAGCATGCTACTTTATGGAAAACAACTTCATGTTCATTACATGCATCCATGTTTCGTAGTAGATTCTTACACTGTTATTATGTTAAAGGTGACTACAACCAAACTGTTATCCATAAAGTTGTATGCGCACTACTGACTCCCCAAATTCTAGAATGCTGATCAAACAATTATGGTATATTATGGTGGCCTGTAAATAATCAAATCTGTACAGGGGATGGAAATAACCCGTTGCCCGACGCCCCAGTCCAGTGTATTTTTCTGTCAGGCTAGCAAATGTGATGTATGTCACGCTGTACCGGTGTCCAGTTGACTTTCCAATGTTAATTATGTTGTTTATTTAAAAAATCAACAAGGAACTCGGCTAGTATAGTGGAAAAATTATCAGGGCAAGTGATTTTACATGTGCCACTGTACCGGAGTACATTATCAATTTTAAAGTTATTTCCACCCCTGCTGTACCCAATGAATTAATTGCAACCCATGCTCTTTAACAATCACCGACCAGAATCACAGTAATTTATGAACAAACAAAATTCACACAATCTTGCATCAACAAAACACAAGATGTGGACAATGTTGGTTTTGATCCATGTATTATGTGAAATTAAAACGTCTATGAAATCAGAATGTAAACAGTATATCCTTCAGCATATCAACCATGAGGTAATCATCATGATACTTACTTTGTGCCATTATAGTAGTGTTCAAGCTCCTGTAAAACAGATATATAACTAGTTGTCAGTTATCATGAAACACATTTATCTGAGATTTATCTGGAGTTGGTCAGAGGCCAATATTCAGTGAAGATTTCTATCTTTCAATTTAAATGTTCATGCTATGTACCTGTTTTCTACATTCCAATTTTTTCCAGGTCAGGGAAAGTCAAACTAAACTTCCCAGACCTTTCTAGGATTCAATCACTGGTATGAACCATGCATATGATGGCCTTGTGTTTTTAACCAGCCCTAGACAAACCACTGACTGATATTAAGAGCATTGATCTATACCAGTGTGGTTAGATAACATACAATAAACCAAGTTGCTGAGGCTGACCATCCAGTTTATACAATGTCCTACTACAAGCATAAGGACCTAAGCTATTCCAATTGAAGAATCCCCAAAATGTTAATTTAGAAGCATTATTGGGATGATGATGATGATGATATCAGGTGTGACTGTCAGGTGTGATTATCCTGACATTATTGCTGGTGCAGGTTGTTTTAGTTGAGTAAATAACTTACCGTTTCATTATGCTTGGGGAGATATAAGAGGCAAAGCCATCAGAATCAGTAGCTGCAAAGAATACCAAATTGATGTTTGAGATCAATTTATTGTTATCCGGTATACAGTATCATAGATTGATGTGTCAACATACCTCAAAGCGTTTCTGAGTGAATATTGATCCTGAAATTTACATGAATAACAAGACATGCAGAAACTGCCAAGTTGAGTGACTTTGCAGCAAGTTTAATTTACTACTCAATGCAAATATAACACCCCTCAAAAATAAATACAAATATATACCAGGCTGAGGGGTGGCTGAAAAGTCCTGAGCCAAATAATGAAGGACTGTGTTGAAGGAGAGGGTTGCTGATTATTATTCAACATAATCCTTGTTGAGTGGAGTAACCCAGTGGTCAAAGCAGAAGACTCAGGATCGAATCCCACATGGGCACTATATGTGAAGCCTGTTTTTCATGACCCTTGCCATGATATTGTAGAAAGGATCGTTATTTTCATCAGTTGTCTGTTGTTGCTACTCAAACAACTTTGGGACTCCACTCAAGAGTTGACAGTTCTTTCACAAACCTCTTATAACTACGTAGTTTTAGATCAGTTGCATTCATCAATACATTACTTATGGCATTGCTTACTTTACATTACTAGCCCAGTATACACAGCACCAGATTTCAGTTTGGTTTGATCTATATCAATATTGTGAATTAATGCGTATATGAGGGTAAGCACAGTGAAAGTAGTAGTCTGTCTCACAGTCCCTGAACCATATTATTTTCCCTACAGCCTAGCCCTCCCTGCAATGTAAAAGCCCTAAATGAAATAAGTCTAGATTTCCCCAGGTTCAACATCTGGTCAGTCCCTGGGGCTACTTTTCAATTTAAATGGGTTTATTTGTACATTCAAATAAAAATTATATATATTCAGAGAATAAGCAAGGTCTATGAAAGTACATGTAGTTGAAGTGCACAGATTATGAAAGTAGATCTGACACTTGATGAAGGCTCATTACTATCCATTTCCATAAACAGAAAATACCTGGTCACTTTGGTGGTCATTAATTTGTTATTTAATCCCAGTGCAGTCTTTAAGCATGGAAAGTTAAAGGTCACATGCAACCAAAAAATCAAACATAATTAAAACACAATTATCACTTATTCATGACATATAATATACATTGCTGGTTATGAAAAAACATATAAACAAAATTATAAGCGTACAATCGCAAATCAAAAGTGCAATATTGTTGTACTTGGTTTACTTCCCAAAACGAAGCAGCCGGGATACCCAACCCAGTCAGAAGCGGGTGGGTGTGCACTCAAGTGTAACGGCTGGTTCATTTGCCGATGCCCTCACGGGTCATTGTGTGTGTATATATAGAGATTTTGGGTTTTGTAAATACATGCTCATTTTTTGTGTATAACATTTTGCAATCAACAGACATCATAACATGTCATGTGTTCAAGTATCACACCTACCTGTCTGTGTAATTACATAATGTGACAGAGACCGAACTCGGGCCATAAATCAATGCATTTTGTTAATGGTGTATAGCCTGATTGGTGTTAAGTTCAAATTGCATGTGGTCAGTGATAGCAGCTGTGTATTGAATATTGTCATTAGCAGACAGGCAGGCAGAAACACAGGTGTCAATAAAACAAGACACTGAGTTTAGTCTGTGACAACGACATATCTATATCACAGTTAGAAATTCTGCCAACGCTAAATAATGGCATTGCTTTTAAGTATCGAACTGAGAAAGTGACTCGGTAAGAAGAACGTGTGGTGAAATAGACAAATGAAATTATATAAACAGTTAATTTACTGTCATAACATATAAAAGCTTCAAGCGCCTGTGAGATATCAACAAAAACATTAGAAAATAGCTCACACCAAAGCCTTCACCGAGTATTCACGGAAAACCGGCTTCAAGCTGCTTGTGAACCTACTGCACTGGCGCACGTGCTATAAGCGCAGCCCAGCTGTTGAAACCCGTTTTTCCCCAGAAAAGTGGGGAAATTAGTGAAACGTTTGAACTCGATTTAGCGCGCTTTTTTCATCAGCGTTATTTTCAACTTTATAAGTTGAATTTGCATTTTGATGATTTGTTTGGTAAGTCCATACCAAAAGGTATCAGAATCTGCAAAGTTGTGTTTTACGTTGCATGTGACCTTTAACAAATGCAAACTGTTGTGTGTAATATACATTAGATCATACAGTAAAGCTCAGAACATTTCAGTCATCCCTCCATGTTTTGGTCATTGTAACCTTGCACAGAACTGGCTGTTGTGCAGAATGAGTGAGTGAGTGAGTTTAGTTTTATGCTGCACTCAGCAATATTCCAGCTATGATGCAGAGATGCCAACCCTAATTTAGCCTAATTAGTATTTTGGCCAAAAACTGCTGTAAAAATTAGTATTTTTTGGCCAAAATTAGTATTAACTTTTCCAAAGAATATATAGCTATTCTGAGAACTTGTTATTAACATTGTACTCACCTAAATCAGTAGTAAGTATCTACATATAGCTTGATATTGCATAAAATATGGTTGAAATTTATTACGTATGGTACGTATGCAATTTGGTAATTTAATTTAATGTGTTTTTTTAAAACATCGTATATTTTTACTGATATCGTAGTCGGGTATTTTGTGTTGTTTTTTCGTAAAGAATAGGATAAAATCGTATGGGTTGGCATCTCTGTATATTGCTGCGGTCTCTAAATAATCAAGTCTGGACCAGACAATCCAGTGATCAACAACATGAGCATCGATCTGTGCAATTGGGAACCGATGACATGTGTCAACCAAGCCAGCGAGCCTGACCACCCCGATCCCGTTAGTCGCCTCTTACGACAAGCAAGGCTCATTCTAACCCGGACCTTCACGGGTTGCTGTGCAGAGCTTAAAACAACAACATACAAATGTTATGACAAGAAACAACATGCATTGTCACCTTTAGCTAGAATACAGGCAGCCTCATCCAGAATTGCGCTCACATCGTTCTTCCTCCCTTCTGACAAACACAGCTGTGTCTGGGACTTCAGACACAGCCCTGTGTACTGCAATTAACAAAATATTACCTTGAACATTCATGGTCAACACTTACACTCGTATCTCTAGCCTAAAAAGCACATGCATATGAATGCAACTTAAGACGTTAAAAAAACAACATATCTCTTGCCTAAAATTCAACTTTTTTTCAAATTCCTTTTTCTAATACCGCCGATAAATGAAATCCAAATAAATAATTAAAAATTCGACATTATTGAAATTGAGGCTAAGCACCTTTGGTAATAACCACATAGTCTGCAGCTCATTTTTGTCAAGGGGTTCATGCAAAATATCTAGCCTTGGGGACAATACAACTTGTCACTAGAGATTTTCAGTTGTCACCGACTGATGAAGTCAGTCCCAGAATACTGATACAATGAATGCCTTACTAATGGACCTATATATATATGGTCAAAATTGAGAAGCTGGTAGAATGGCGATTTCCTGTGGATATTTGGTAGAATGAGAATATTTTTTGCCACTTCTTCAATTGAGCAAAAATATTTCTCAGAAAGAATGTGTTAAACAATTAATTGTATTTGTGTAATGGTATACAGCATGTCCATCAAACAATCATTTTCTCATACCTGATTCCAGTAGCAAAACAACATATTTCTATTGACTGAGAACGCCTCTAAAAGTGTATTATCTATTGTCTTCAGAGACATTGCACTGAAGATCTTACCTCGATTTACACCAATCACAAAAAGCACCATTATAAATCTCTGAATTTTGAAAGTTATTGTCAATAACAGGGATCCAGAACAATGTTTAAATCTAATAAGTATTACTGAACTAGTTTTCATTTTGCAATTTTAGTTTTTGATTTTATCAGGTGAATGGATATAATGTAAACATATGTATGAATTTTGCAATTTCATCACTAAATAATTTCTTTGACGAAAAAGGTCAATGTAACTAACAAGGGTATGTGTAATTGAAGAAAAAGGAGGCAATGATTGATGCTCAGATGATCAGAGTGTGATGGCTTAAAACGTTTTTACATGAAACAAACCTTTGTCTTTAGTGCAAGAAATGTATGTGAAGCCTCTTGAGCTGAAAAACAAGAATTACACAGATTAGGAAAATTTGTGAATTCTATTTTTCATATGTCATGACAAAACAAGGCTCAAACTGAAACAAATGATACAGAAATTAAAATCTAAAGGTCTGTTTACTGGCATTTCCAACAAATTTAGTGTTTTATATAATATATTTATAAATAGTAGCATTTCCATCAGACACTCATCTGGAAAATATAATCAGAGTAAAATACAGGCTGAGTTTGATATCAATATTATTAGTCTTTATATTGATAGCAGTTAAATTAATGGTTGTAATACATTGTGCAACTACACAGTAAAAACATAAGCTGTATGGTGCAAACATATGTCATGTCTATGTGTCATATGCATCTTCCTGATTGCAAACTCATCCTGGTTCACAAAAGGTGAATTTTGCTATGTCTAAATCTGCCAGTATTCTGGGGTATATGTATTATACATATGGCTGAAAAAAGCTGATGCAATGTCAAATATTAACTTACTCACTCAAGTATTCAGGGAAAGTCACTTTACTGGTAAATCATGTTGTTGACTGTTTCAAAAACAATACAAGCACTTCCATTTTGAAAGTTAGGGACTGTTCATAATTTATGGCAAGGAAGGGTGATGATGATTTTTATGCAGAAGCATGTACAATGTGAATGACTCCCCATAAAATTTACATACAAAGTAAGTGCCCCCCCCCCCTGCATATCATGTACAAAATCAATGAACCCCCTCCTCCTTCCTATAATTTCTGAGCATAATTTTTAAATATTTTTATGCACAAAATTGCTTACCCCCTCTAGTACATGTGTACAAAATCCTCAGAACAAAATGGTTCATAAATTAAGAGCAGTCCCTTATGGAGCTTGCATGTATGTATTTTAATATATTCATATGACAAATAACAGAGCACTAGATAACTGTTTCTTCAGAAAAAACTTAACTAGCATTATAAAAGGGAAGTTATACCACCCAAGGTTTTGCTTTTCTTCCTCCCAATACTGTCACATTGAACACCAAGCAAATCTTTCTTTTGGGTTTTCTCTTTAACAATACTTTCCAGAAATAATGGGTGTTCTGCTAAATACGTCCTGACTAAGTCTGGACTCAGATCTGAAAACAAAAATGAGCATTTTATGCATCATGTCAATGATTTTATAAATGTGGAAAATTACTGGTGTTGCTTTGAAGTTACAAAACATAGGTTCTTTATGTTATTACATTACAGTATTGTTATTCTTGTTTCCATTTAACTTTAAACTGTATTTCCACATTATCAATAATGAATTTGATTGTATGGAATTTTTAAATGTAAATTCAAGGCAAATTCAGTCAAACACCAGCTGGTTCTGAAGTTTACCATCTGTTTTTGGTGTTCCTGAAATGTGATTTCTTCTTTTCGAAAAGGGACCCGTTCGAATACGTTCTAACAAATTGCCTCCAAATGGCAACTTTCGCCTTCCAGAAACTTGGGTCTCGCCATGTGACATAGTCACACCCATAACACCCCAACTGCAACTGCTTGAAAGTATTTCAAATAAAGCGCCATACAAATATACCACAAAACGTCATCAGTTTGTGAATAGACACGGAGTATTCATTTTCAGATTTGTAATACCCGGCGGAGTGTGGAAATGCCTTGTTTTTCGGAAATATGTAGGTATAGGTGAATATGGTATAAATATGTATAATAAGTTATAACTATATATATTGACTATTGATAGTGTTTATTCGTGGGACGAATATTGGACTTTACGCAGTAACAAATTCTCCCTTGTGGCGCGAATACACGGAAGTTGAGATGGTATCTAGACAGATGTCAACATCGAAGATCTACTGAGTTAAAACTCTTTATAGAGAGGGTATGGCAGTTTTCGTGACAGTCGTATAGATATCGCGTTTCTTATAATTTAAGTGTCACTCAATCAAATGCGAGTGAAGTATACATATTAACATAAACACTGCATGAATATGTTTGACATTTTGTGAAGTGTGTGTAGCTAGCCGAGCAGCGATGCGGTCGTACTGGAAGGTCTTGACAATATTAGGACTGCATCGCGGCTCTCGGCTTGTCTTTCGCGTGCGACCTCGTTGAATCGCGGTACTTGCGTAATCGGAAATACTGTTTGCTGCGATACGAGGAATGCCGCAATACAACGAGGTCCGAGCATTTGGTGCTGGATGTCCTTTGGCTTTGCAGGCATTTTCAGTTAATCAGTTGACATTATCATTTATCTGTCCGTGAGATACCTGCATTTAATTTTCAGAGTATCTTGAAATATATATACTATATATATATAATACAAGTTGAAAATTGCGCTGTCATTGGAAACACATAAAATGGCTTATAGGGCCCCAGTCCTCATTCACAGACAAAATGCTGTTGAGCTATATACAGTACAACCAGAAATTATTGACAATCTAATATTTTTTTTCACTCATTACTCACATATTAAATGTGAATATTAGCAGAACATAATTCCAGATTCAAGGACAGGTGAACAGTGAGTACTTTTTCATGTCACCATGGGCAGCAATGCAGGCTTCAATGCGGCGGGGCATACTACTGATCAAAGAAGTTAGAAAGTCGTGGTCCATGCTGTCCCAATATCGGACCACCTCTTCTTTCATTTCAGCAATATTTGTCAGATTTTTCTTATTGACACTTTCCTTTATAAGTCCCCAAACATTTTCTATTGGATTTAGGTCAGGGCTATAGCTTGGCCAATCTAATAATGTCATATTTTGTGTCCGAAACCAGGCCTGTGAATGCTTTGAACAATGTTTTTGGTCGTTGTCCTGCTGGAAAATCCAAAAATTTCCATAGAACACGTGAGCAGATGGAAGTAAATGTCCCTCGAGAATATCTGTGTACCACTCACTGTTCATATTCCCTTCAAATAGAGGGGAGTTGCCCCTAACACAGATATGCCATCCCACACGTTAAATTTCAGACTGTACTTTGGGTGCTAATACAAAGGTTTTTCAGTTATTTTGGTCCAGAATTTCAGTGTATTAGGAAACAGCCACACAGAACTTTCATCTGAGAAAATCACATTGTCCCAGTTAAAATTTCTATGCTGTAAGCACCAGTTCAACCTTCGCTCCTTTTGTTCAGGTTTCATGATCGGTGATGGAATTCCTCGACTTTTCTACCAACCCACTGCATGCAGGTCAGTTCTAATTGTCTCCTTACAGACAGCCACAGTTCCTCTATCAATCATATCCAGCCTTAAGTTTTCTAAACTCCTTCGTTTGTTTTTAGAAACAAGAATACCAAGCCGCCTCCTGTCACCGACAGTCAATTTTCTTGGCCTACCTGCGCTTCCCTGGTGCTCAATGCCATGTCCATTTGCAATATTTTTCAAATCACGATAAACAGTGGACAAAGGCATGCCTGTTCTACTTGAAATCACATTAGCTGATCTGACGTCCTTGTTATAATACTCTAAAATCAACTTCCTCTTCTCTAAATGATCTATACTGAGGATCACTGAAAAAGTTGTCTGCTAGCAAGTAAACAAAGGGGGATAACTCTTCACAAACTAATGAAAAAGAATCAACAGAGTTGTCTCTCTTGAATGAAACCAAGCACTTGATAGCTGGTCAAGGTTGTTGATACTAGAAATCCAATTAAACATATTCCTAAAATTCTCAATAATTTCTGGTCATACTATATATGTTGTGTATTTGTGTTGTAATGGATAGTAGCATCTGACTGGAGAGTTTGAAAGTGTATGATGCAATCCCCTGACCATGTCATTACCAAAGAAGGTACTCCCTGTTACCCTGTTCCGTGTGTGACATTGGGGGAGTAAACAGTTCGGTCATCTCTGGGGTATATATGTTATCATAGAGAACAATAAATCATTAAAGGGAAACAAAACTCACAGTCCATTTTAATTAGCCTGTGGAATCAGTGTTTGCCACTTATCGTCACCCACCCAACAAACTGGGTGTTGGACCAGTAAGGGAGTGCCTTATTGAAAACAAGGGAATCCCCTTGAATTGTCATGTTTGATTGGCTATGCTTATGAAAAACATTCACCTTGCAAATGTTTACATGTGTACATGTATAAAATTATGTACTTCAGTCAGTCTAAGTAAACTTAGGCTCAGTATAGTAGTGTAACGAATTATACTGAGCCTAAGTTTACTTAGACTGGTACTTCAGTATGCAGCAATTATGAGTATATGCATTATTTTTACACCAATGAAGTTCATTTGATGTACTAAAAACAATGACAACTACTTTATAAATAGTTATGGAAGCGTTAAATTGCTCCACAGTTAGATCCAGTGAGGATTTTCCAACAGGACAAAAACTACATTTCTTCACAATAGTTTATGTTTTACCTGATGCCATTTTTCACATCAATATTCGTTAACATTTCTTTCTAACAACAATATTGCTGATCTCTTTAGCAAGCCCTAGTGCTGGTCAGTACTAACCCCATTCATTCCCTTCAATTCAAATTGTAACTGACACATTGTTACAGGATATTTAGTTAACTTCTTTGATTGGCGATTGGTGGGGTAGCCAGTGGTTAAAGTGTTCCATTGTCATGCCGAAGGCCGGGTTTGATTCTTCTCATGGGTACAAGATGTGAAGCTCATTTCTGGTGTCCCCTGCCGTGATATTGCGGGAATGTTACTAAATCGCGACGTAAAATCCAACTGACTCACTCCTGTTGAAGGAAGCAGACCTGCTACTAGTCATGTGATGATGATGAACCCGTGGGTGCCCTGAAGACCTGGCTGAAGACCTCCTACTGTGTCACGGTCCCGGAGGACTGGCTGGAGGCTTGTCTAGAATGGATTCAAGAAGAAAATCCAGTAAGCTTTGGTCACACGCAGTAGGTCGGCCATCATTTTTTGTGTTTGTACATATCGAGGTAGAGACTTGTTGCAGACTTGCTGATTGTTTAGGTATATATTATTCATTGGCACCCTGTAATTTGTGATCGAGACAAATTACGTCAGTTCATTTTTAATTTATATATATTGACATGTTTGACAGTATAAAAATTGAAAAATATCTGTTGAATTCATCTGGATGACAATTATTCAGTCTTTCAGAACATGGACTTGTCAGAAACCCAGGTCTTGTTTGCATTACATATATTGGTATGTACGTGCATCAGCACAGCGGTGTCAAAAATCAATGCCTGATGCCCAAACATGTAATCATTGGAAAAAAAATTGAAAAATATCTTTACAATCCTTGTTGATGAGAGCTATTCAGTCTTAAAGAAAATGGACCTGTCAGAAACTCACAGCACGTTTGTGTTACTTAAATGGACATGTTACATCAGCACAGTGGTGTGGAAAATCAGTGCCCGACCCCCAACATGTAACATCTGGACAAATCAAAACATTAGCTTCAGTTGTCCCAAGTGTAAAGGAGACTTATTGTCAGTTTTAATTAAAATATTGCATTCAAGTTGCACCTGCTTAAACATTTTCAGGACAATGTATGATGTTCATCACGTGAGAGACTTGTTGGGAACGTAACGGGATAAACATTCTCAGTCGCCTTAAAGGTCACTTGCAACGTAAAACACAACTTTGCAGATTCTGATACCTTTCGGTATGGACTTACCGAAACAAATCGTCAAAAATGCAAATTCAACTTATAAAGTTGAAAAATAACGCGATGAAAAAAAACGCGCGAAATCGGAGTTCAAACGTTTCACTAATTTTCCCCAGACTTTTCTGGTGAAAACGGGTTTCAACAGCTGGGCTGCGCTCATAGCACGTGCGCAGTGAAATAGGTTCGCGCAGCTTGGAAGCGGGCTGTCTGGTGAATACTCGGTGAAGGCTTTGGTGTGAGCTTTTTTCATAATGTTTTGTTGATATCTCACAGGCGCGAGCTTTTCATATGTTATGACAGTAAATAAACTGTTTATATAATTTCATTTGTCTATTTCACCACACGTTCTTCTTACCGAGTCACTTTCTCAGTTCGATACTTAAAAGCAATGTCATTATTTAGCGTTGACAGAATTTCTAACTGTGATATAGATATGTCGTTGTCACAGACAAAACTCAATGTCTTGTTTTATTGACACCTGTGTGTCTGCCTGCCTGTCTGCTAATGACAATATTCCATACACAGCTGCGTTCACTGACCACATGCAATTTGAACTTAACACCAATCAGGCTATACACCATAAACAAAATGCATTGATTTATGGCCCGAGTTCGGTCTCTGTCACATTATGTAATTACACAGACAGGTAGGTGTGATACTTGAACACATGACATGTTATGATGTCTGTTGATTGCAAAATGTTATACACAAAAAATGAGCATGTATTTACAAAACCCAACATCTCTATATATACTCACACAATAGTTAGGGCATCTGCAAATGAACCAGCCGTTACACTTGAGTGCACACCCATCCGCTCTGACTGGGTTGGGTATCCCAGCTGCTTCGTTTCTTGGGAAGTAAACCGAAGTACACAATATTGCACTTTTGATTTGCGATTGTACGCTTATAATTTTGTTTATATGTTTTTTCATAACCAACAATGTATATTATATGTCATGAATAAGTGATAATTGTGTTTTAATTATATTTGATTTTTATTGGTTGCATGTGGCCTTTAATATTAGGGCACTGAGCATTCCATTTAGTTTTTTTGGGGGGAAAATATGAATCAATATAGAACAAACTTGAATCCCCTTTGACATCATGGGTCAAGCAGGCTTATAAAACCTTGAAATTTAATATAACATGTCCTTTCTTATTATTTGATAATTATAACTATTGTAATATAGGTCATAGAGCCAAAATCTCTAAAATCATCTTATCTGATCTGGATTCTTCATTAATCTATTAATTGGAACATGTAGAAATCAACATGTACTGTGTATCTTACAATTCAATTTTATTAGATACTTGAAAGAATGTCAAAACTGTTTCTGCAGTTTTCTATGCTCTACAAAAATAACAAGCATATTTATGTCTGACAGGGATCCGACGTAAGTCTACAGTCCCTGAAAAACCAGGTGTACGAACAGTGGCTGATGTCAGACTTACGGGAGTTGAAGATGGGTTGTCTCCCTTTAGAGTTGCTGGAGGCACGGAAGATCGAGATCAGTGGCATATTTGCATTACAAGTACGTAATACTTGTTATGGTTATTCTGACTGCCAAAAGTGCAAACAATTTTGTTTTGTTTGTTTGTTGTTTGATGCTGCACTCAGCAATATTCCAGCTATATGTGTGTGTGTGTGTGTGTGTGTGTGTGTGTGTGTGTGTGTGTTTGGGTTTAAGCCATTTCTGGTCTCCCCCGCCGTGATATAACTGGAATATTGTTAAAAGCAGCGTAAAACTAATCTCACTCACTCACTTCAGCTATATGGTCGTAAATAATCAAGTCAATACAATGACATATGTCAACCAAATCAGTCAACCTGACCACCCAATTCCACCCAAGCATGGGTTGCCGAATACCTGATAGAATACTTGACACGTTTTTTTTGTAACAACTTCTTTATATTTTTCATAAAAAAATTCAGAGCCAATTTTGGCTCCTTCATCAGGTGTATGCTGAGTCAAACTTTCAAGAACTTTGATATTGTAGAGTGCAGCTAGATACAGCCTATGCTGACTGTCTTGCTTTGTCTTTATCCCTAGATTGATTCAGCAGTGAATGTAGGGAGTTCCTTCTACTCCCAAGGTCAGAAGATAAAGGGGACGGAGAACCCCAATGCACAAGTATCAGCAGATGACACCAGACAGCCAGCAGTAAGTCCCTGATGCTTCTGATCACATGGTCATGTATATGATACTTACTACAAGCAACCGAGACTCACCAGGGTAAAACAGATAAGCCATGGTATAACTGAGACATGCTGTGGTATAACTGAGACATGCTGAGGTATAACTGAGACATGCTGTGGCATAACTGAGACATGCTGTTGTATACCTGAAACATGCTGTGGTATAACTGAGACATGATGTTTTATAACTGAGACATGCTGAGGTATAACTGAAACACACTGTGGTATAACTGAGACATGCTGTGGTATAACTGAGACATGCTGTGGTATAACTCAGACATGCTGTGGTATAACTCAGACATGCTGTGGTATAACTCAGACATGCTGTGGTATAACTCAGACATGCTGTGGTATAACTCAGACATGCTGTGGTAAAACTGAGACATGCTGTGGTATAACTGAGACATGCTGTGGTATAACTGAAACATGCTGTGGTATAACTGAGACATGCTGTGGTGTAACTGAAACATGCTGTGGTATAACTGAGACATGCTGTGGTGTAACTGAAACATGCTGTGGTATAACTGAGACATGCTGTGGTGTAACTGAGGCATGCTGTGGTATAACTGAGACATGCTGTGGTATAACTGAGACATGCTGTGGTATAACTGAGACATGCTGAGGTATAACTGAGACATACTTTGGTATAACTGAGACATGTTGAGGTATAACTAAGACATGCTGTTTTATAACTGAGACATGCTGTGGTATAATTTTGACATGATATAACTGATGTGCCATGGTATTTTTGTGACGCATACAACTGAGTCACATTGTGGTATAATTGATATAACATGTGGCATAGATGAGACTCTCCATGCTGTCAGAGAGACTCAGTTATAGCTGAGACATGTCATGGCAAAACTAGGACTAGTATAACTGAGATCGCGATGTGGTATGACTGAGGCATGCGGTTCTAAAATCATATCTTATGGTATACAGTGAAGCCTCGTTAATCCGGACGGTTCGCGTTTCTCAGTAAATTCATCCGGTTAGAATAGTCCGGACTACTGAATCAAGACCCAAGTTGCTTCCCTAAGAATTACAAAAAGCGACCGCGAATCTGGATAAAACAAATAAGCATTTAATGTAAAGCTTAATTCATCACATCAATAATTTTACCGAGTGACATCCATGTTGATCCGGCGTGTCTGATCCGTCCTTCCTCAGCACAGGTGAGGTAATGTCTAACAAAGCGATCTATTGTAGTATGCCTTGAATGTCGAATTATTCCTGCATCCATCGGTTGAATATGAGACGTGGTATTTGGTTACATTTCGCAAAGTTAGCGAAGCACACTTGTGACTTGCAGCATTGTCGTAAAGCAAAATCACTTTTAGTCCACGTGACCGGATCTCTCTGTCAAAGTACATTAACCAATCACAAAACAGTTCACTTGTCATCCACGCCTTTGTATTGTGGTGTCAATCAAAGTGTAAATGTACAGTATCTTCAGTCGGGAGCTTTTTATGTCTAATTAAAACAACAACCCAGTTAATTAAGTAAACATCGCTGGGCGGTGTTGTTACGGTTCGTGAACACGACTTACAGTGTCCGGACTGTGAAGCAATTTACTGTTTATTTTACTGATTGGTGACAGCTACTTACCGTCCGGTTCCGGAAACCGAATTTCCGGATTATCGAGGCAAATTATATAGGCATAGATTGGTAACAAGCTGAAATCGCCCGGGAGGCGAGACTTCCGGATTATCGGAGTCCGGACTAACGGGGCTTCACTGTAATTAAGTTTTGCTGTGGTATAACTGATATCCAACGCTAGGTCTTTGGCGTGAGGAGCAAAAGCTTTAACCACGAGGCTATCCTGCCCTTAATGAAATACAAGCCACCTCCACAAGTGTTGATATTTTCAGGGACATTTTTCTTCCGTTTGGGTGCTCCAATTAATTGAAATAATTGAAGATTGGTCAGAGTGACCAAACAACAAAGCTATTGATCACATTTTCTCATAATTGAACACAAGCGATTTTGGAACTACTGTTTTAGTGTTTGAAACACTTGACGATGGAACATATCTTAGAAGTTGTCAGGGCCTGAAACTGTGTTTAATTCTTAGAAAACTAACGTCACCACCTGAAAAGTCACAACTGAATATTTCTGAAGACTCTGGGAAGTTTATGTTCATGATATATTAGTCATCACTTTAAAGTAGCAAGTTGCATCATTTTACATTGGATGTGAAGTTTGCAAATGGAATGGCACAGTTTCTAAATACAACAAAAAACAACAGAGAACCATGTTATACTTATCTGCAAACAACCTGAATAGGAAAATCTGAAAAGTGATGCTAACCAATTTTTTCTGTGATTGCTCGTAGGTAATGAACCAATCATCAATTGTGAGATTTCAACCAATTCCCAACACTAGTTGTCACATCTCCAACCAGGTGATGATCTGTGTTTCAGTGGGAGCCCAAGCCTACACGCATGATAGTTCTCAAACTGACCGATGGAGTGTCCGATGTCAAGGGATGGAGTACAGACCTGTTGCAGCACTCCACACCCTTCATGACTCCGGGGACGGGCCGAAGGTAGGGTTGCGATATAGCTCGATATGTCTCATCGTCATGACAAATATACCTGGGGTGACCCTTCATGACTCCGGGGACGAAGGTAGGGTTGCGATATAGCTCCGATATGTCTCATCGTCATGACAAATATACCTGGGATGACCCTTCATGACTCGGGGGCGAAGGTAGGGTTCGCGATATAGCTCGATATGTCTCATCGTCATGACATATATACCTGGGATGACCCTTCATCACTCCGGGGGCCGAAGGTAGGGCTATGCGATATAGCTCCGATATGTCATCGTCCATCATGACAAATATACCTGGGATGACCCTTCATGACTCTGGGGACTAAGGTAGGGTTGCGATATAGCTCGATATGTCTCATCGTCATGACAAATATACCTGGGATGACCCTTCATGACTCGAGGGGACAAAGGTAGGGTTGCGCGATATAGCTCCGATATGTCTCATCGTCATGACAAATATACCTGGGATGACCCTTCATGACTCTGGGGACTAAGGTAGGGACTGAAGTATAGTTCCGATATGTCTCATCATCGTCATGACAAATATACCTGGGATGACCCTTCATGACTCGAGGGACGAAGGTAGGGCTGAAGTATAGTTCGATATGTCTCATCATCGTGACAAATATACCTGGGATGACCCTTCATGACTCGGGGGACTAAGGTAGGGCTGAAGTATAGTTCGATATGTCTCATCATCATGACAAATATACCTGGGATGACCCTTCATGACTCGGGGACTAAGGTAGGGTTGCGATATAGCTCGATATGTCTCATCATCATGACAAATATACCTGGGATGACCCTTCATGACTCCGAGGGGACTAAGGTAGGGCTGAAGACTATAGTTCCGATATGTCTCATCATCATGACAAATATACCTGGGATGACCCTTCATGACTCCGGGGACTAAGGTAGGGCTGAAGTATAGTTCCGATATGTCTCATCATCGTGGCAAATATACCTGGGATGACCCTTCATGACTCTGGGGACTAAGGTAGGGCTGAAGTATAGTTCGATATGTCTCATCATCGTGGTAGCAAATATACCTGGGATGACCCTTCATGACTCCGAGGGACGAAGGTAGGGTTGCGATATAGCTCCGATATGTCTCATCGTCATGACAAATATACCTGGGATGACCCTTCATGACTCTGGGGACTAAGGTAGGGCTGAAGTATAGTTCCGATATGTCTCATCATCGTGGCAAATATACCTGGGATGACCCTTCATGACTCTGGGGACTAAGGTAGGGCTGAAGTATAGTTCCGATATGTCTCATCATCGTGGCAAATATACCTGGGATGACCCTTCATGACTCTGGGGACTAAGGTAGGGCTGAAGTATAGTTCCGATATGTCTCATCATCGTGGCAAATATACCTGGGATGACCCTTCATCACTCCAGGGACTAAGGTAGGGCTGAAGTATAGTTCCGATACGTCTCATCATCGTGGCAAATATACCTGGGATGACCCTTCATCACTCCAGGGACTAAGGTAGGGCTGAAGTATAGTTCGATATCTCATCATCATGGCAAATATACCTGGGATGACCCTTCATGACTCTGGGGACTAAGGTAGGGCTGAAGTATAGTTCCGATATGTCTCATCATCGTGGCAAATATACCTGGTGTGTCCCTTCATGACTCTGGGCACTAAGGTAGGGCTGAAGTATAGTTCCGATATGTCTCATCATCGTGGCAAATATACCTGGTGTGTCCCTTCATCACTCCAGGGACTAAGGTAGGGCTGAAGTATAGTTCCGATACGTCTCATCATCGTGGCAAATATACCTGGTGTGTCCCTTCATCACTCCGGGGACTAAGGTAGGGCTGAAGTATAGTTCCGATATGTCTCATCATCGTGGCAAATATACCTGGGATGACCCTTCATGACTCTGGGGACTAAGGTAGGGCTGAAGTATAGTTCCGATATGTCTCATCATCGTGGCAAATATACCTGGGATGACCCTTCATGACTCTGGGGACTAAGGTAGGGCTGAAGTATAGTTCCGATACGTCTCATCATCGTGGCAAATATACCTGGGATGACCCTTCATGACTCTGGGGACTAAGGTAGGGCTGAAGTATAGTTCGATCGTCTCATCATCGCGTGGCAAATATACCTGGTGTGTCCCTTCATGACTCTGGGGACTAAGGTAGGGCTGAAGTATAGTTCGATATGTCTCATCATCGTGGCAAATATACCTGGTGTGTCCCTTCATCACTCCAGGGACTAAGGTAGGGCTGAAGTATATAGTTCGATATGTCTCATCATCATGACAAATATACCTGGTGTGTCCCTTCATCACTCCGGGGACTAAGGTAGGGCTGAAGTATAGTTCCGATACGTCTCATCATCGTGGCAAATATACCTGGGATGACCCTTCATGACTCTGGGGACTAAGGTAGGGCTGAAGTATAGTTCCGATACGTCTCATCATCGTGGCAAATATACCTGGGATGACCCTTCATGACTCTGGGGACTAAGGTAGGGCTGAAGTATAGTTCCGATACGTCTACTCTCTCTGAAGAAGAAATGAACTGAAACTTTTGGAGGATGTTTACAGGAATGTTTGTTGGTAATGCATTCTCAAGGGGATATTGCTTAGGAATCTACTGAAAACTTGATAGGCAGTAAACATGATACAATTGAGAGCTTGTTAACAGAACCTTTCCTGAATTAATGACTAAATTTTTCACTAAATATAACTCTCTCAGAATGGTGCTATGTCAGGCAGTTCCTGGGCACTATTTTTCAGAAGTCATTTTCTTAGAATTCCTTCAAGAGTACATAGCCTGTATATAAGCAGGGTTTTACCTTGACCAACAGGCCACAGGACTCCCGCTTACTAATTTCAAGGGTCCTTACATGAAATTCCAGGGTCCTGGAAAATGAAGAAATTGTGTAGCAGACTATACTGTAAGGTTTAATGATTGCTTTAATTGCATGAACTTTAGGGGTGGTGGGGTAGCCTAGTGGTTAAAGTGTTTACTCATCACAAAGAAGACCTGGGTTTCGATTCCCCACATTGGTTCAATATGTGAAGCCCATTTCTGGTGTCCCCCGGCCCTGATATTGCTGGAATATTGCTAAAAGCGGCATGCAACTCCACGCCACGCCACTCCACTCCACTCACATGAACTTTATTTCTTGTTACAAGTTTTGAACAGTGAATGTTACTGTGCATCCCAGGGAACATGGTATATGTATTTTTCTGTGTTCCTTCCATACATTTGTGCGTCCTGGACGCACATTTCTCTCACGTAAAACCCTGTATGAGTGTCCTGTGTATATCTCCTGCTTGTTGCCAGATGCTGGTTAAGGGCAGGGTGCTATGTCGCCACGGGATGCTGATGCTGGGGCCCGAGAATGTCCAGATCCTTGGGGGAGAGGTGGACAGTCTGATGGAGACCCACACCCCCGAGGCTGTGCTGGCTGCAGCGATGTACGTATCAAGTCTTTGTGCTGTTTTGCTGACTTTGTGTGCACCAGTTCCCAGTGTTCTGCAACTTTGTAGTTGCACAATGTTTTGCAGAATATCCCTATGATGCAGAAATGTACCTATCTCATGGAAAGTTGCGTTCTGTGTCAGTCAGTCTCCACTGTATTCTGGGGCGATGAGGTAGCCTAGTGGTTAAAGTATTGGTTCATCACGCAGAAGACCTGGGGTTCGATTCCCTACATGGGCACAATATCTGAGGCCCATTTCTTGTGTCCCCGCCGTGATATTGCTGGAATATTGCTAAAAGCGGTGTAAAACCATACTCACTCACTCCACTGTATGCCACAATTTTATTTTTGTGGATAATTTGCAGAGTATTCTTATGATGCGAGAAATCATGTTTTGTGCTGGACCCAGGCTTAAATTTCAATGTGTGTATCAGTCTGCAGCGGAATGGGTCAAACACATTGTAGATTTTACTATTTGAATCAAAATTCAGTCCTCGGTATATAATAGCTAACAGGGCTCCAGAAATGAACTGACAACATGTGATTTTATTGTTTTTATTTTATTATGTTGATAAAAATCATGTTAAGTATTTGTGTAGTGAAAGAATTTCGCTTGTTTATTGTATTGTGGTAGCTGGAAGCAAACCAGTCCACACCCATGAAGATTCAGGTTAGAATCGGTCTTCAGCAATGTGTACTTGTCATAAGCAGCGAATAACAGGATTGGCTGGTCAGGTTTGCTGACTTGGTTGATACGTCATCGTGTCTAAATTGCATAGAGCGATGCTTATGATGTTGATCATTGGATTATCTGGTCCAGACTCGATTAGTTACAGATCACTGCATTGTATTGCTGAGTGTGGAGTTTAAATAACAACAAACAAACACACAAACAAAATCATGTAGTTCACAAATCATTGATAAATCTGTCCAAAGACTTCTTTAATTCATATTTCTGGTGTCCCCGGCCGTGATATTGCTGGAATATTGCTAAAAGCGGCGTAAAACTAAACTCAGTCAGTCAGTCAGTCTTTAATTCATAAACAAAACTACCTGAAGAGATTGAATAACTTCTCGCAGAATTTGTCAATGTGACTTTAAAGCCTTGAATTTTCAAAAATAATTTGCCTGGTCTTTCCAAAGAATGCATATATCTTATATCCCTGTTTGATGGTTCTGCTTCACAGGCAGGTTGGGCAGACCAATGAGGGGAAGAGCGAGAGACAAGAGTTCTCTGGCCGCATGCTGAGTAAAGGGGAAGACAAGAAAGGCGTGGCCAGCATGCACCACTCTGGGACAACACCCAGATCAGCTCCAGGGTTTAAACAGGAGAATATCAAGAGAGAAGCAGCACAACACAGTACACAGCGGTACAATTCAACAAGAAATATGTCGCTGGGTATACAGGGTAAAACTATGTATTCTTATATGTTTCTACCATTCCTATCTTAACAGTACCTTCGAATTTGTCTACAGCAACCCATGTTTGTCATTACAGACCGTGGGAAAAAAGGAACCAAAGAACTTATAATTTACTCAAATTGCTGAACATGTTATCAAACAATTATGGTATAACTAAGCACATGTAAAATTGGATGTTATGATGAATTGTCATGAAAGATTTTGTAACCCGTGAAGATCTGGGTTATGACTGGTCTTCAGCAGCCCATACTTGTCATAATAGGCGACTAATGGGATCGGGTGGTCAGGCTCGCTGACTTGGTTGACACATGTCATCGTATCCCAATTGCGTAGAACTAGATCATGATGTTGACTGTCTGGTGCAGACTCGATTATTTACCGACCTGTAATATTGTTGAGTGTGGCTTTAAATAACAAACAAACAGTTTTATATATCTTCATCATAGTTGATCAGTCTATACTGTTTAATTTCAGTTTTAGTATAACTCAAGATATATTGTGATATAGTTTTGTGTCTTCTAAAATCTTCTGTTCTACATTGGCACTATTTTTAAGTCAGTTGTTGCAGGAGATATGTAACTGAAAAAGGCTATTGTACTCTGTGGTAGCAAAGAGATAGAGTTGTCTCCCTTTGCAGGGTCATCTGATATCTGGTCACATTCTATATCCCGCTATGTTCTTTAGGTTGGAAGAACCATATCAATGTTAATCTAATTTTACTAAAGTAATTTGTGTTTCATCTTGAATATTCTGCTGGCATAGCATTTAATGAGCAAGGGACATAGAACACGCATGTATTCTGTATCTGTGATGTGTCATATTATTCAGAGGTCATTTTGTAATAGTTTATTAATTTATGCAATTGTTGTTGGAAATCTTTAATTTGTTGTTTTCAGGAAACACCACCTCACGTCAAACTAGTGTCAAGTCGGAAATGCCAGATCCTGACGATGTGAGTCTTCTGATGTTTAACGGAAAGTATAAAGAGCATACCACTTTGTTGTATCCGTTACATTGTGTACAATACACTGGGTTCTGGGTTAGATCTCTTGTATCCGTTACATTGTGTACAATACACTGGGTTCTGGGTTAGATCTCTTGTATCCGTTACATTGTGTACAATACACTGGGTTCAGGGTTAGATCTCTTGTATCCGTTACATTGTGTACAATACACTGGGTACTGGGTTAGATCTCTTGTATCCGTTACATTGTGTACAATACACTGGGTTCTGGGTTAGATCTCTTGTATCCGTTACATTGTGTACAATACACTGGGTTCAGGGTTAGATCTCTTGTATCCGTTACATTGTGTACAATACACTGGGTTCTGGGTTAGATCTCTTGTATCCGTTACATTGTGTACAATACACTGGGTTCAGGGTTAGATCTCTTTTATCCGTTACATTGTGTACAATACACTGGGTTCAGGGTTAGATCTCTTTTATCCGTTACATTGTGTACAATACACTGGGTACAATGCATTCCGTCCATGCGTCCGTGCACATTTGTCTTTGCTGGAGCATAACTCTAAAACCGTTCAATATTCTTCACCAAACTTGGCACATAGATAGATCTGGTGGTCTGCCGGTGCCGTTTGGTAGTTTTGGGTTTTTGAATAAAATATTTTTTGCTTTTCCATAGCAACAAGTTTGACTTAGACTGAAATTGGTGGTAGTACTCTTTTTAGGAGCAGAACTTTAAAACCGTTCACTATTTCCTCACCAAACGTGGCACATCGATAGGTCTGGTGGGGTACTGGTGCCTTTTGGTAGTTTTGGATTTCTGAATAAAATATTTTTGGCGTTTCCATGGCAACAAGTTTCACTTTGACTGAAATTGGTGGTAGTGCTCTTTTTAGGAGCAGAACTTTTGCACATTTGTCTTTTCTGGAGCAGAACTTTAAAACCGTTCAATGTTTCTTCACCAAACTTGGCGCATAAATAGATCTGGTGGTTTACTGGTGCCGTTTGGTAGTTTTGGATTTCTGAATAAAATATTTTTTTGTGTTTCCATGGCAACAAGTTTGACTTAGACTGAAATTGGTGGTAGTACTCTTTTTAGGAGCAGAACTTTAAAACCGTTCACTATTTCCTCACCAAACGTGGCACATCGATAGGTCTGGTGGGGTACTGGTGCCTTTTGGTAGTTTTGGATTTCTGAATAAAATA